AAAAAATCTACACAGGAGGGAATCGGGAAACAAGCGTGATTTCAGTGGGATAAAGACAATCCTACAAAAGACGAAAGGTTAACAGATGAAGTATAAACATTTGAGAAAAACCCATTTTCTTCTCATAGTCGTTCTTCTAAGCCTTAAAGCTCTCTCAATCCCCAACAAGGCAGCAAACATCTAAAGACACAACATCAAGTGAGAACTAGACTCACAAATCAATGAGTCAAACTACAGCTGGGAGCTAATCATCAAAAGGACTCCCTACAGACTGCAAGAAACCCAACAGAGGCAACTGCAGAGCACACAGCATTCAAATGTGCTTTCCAGGCTTTAAAAAAAAAATAAAAAAAAATAAGAGCAACCACTCCTGAAAAACAGCATTTTTAATTTGATGTAGAGCCTTCTGTATGATTAAATATATCATAGATTGGCCCAAATAAGACTCCACAGGCTTGTTTAGGCTGTGTATAATGCCTCCTATGCGTAGCACCCGATGGGCCTAGATGTTAATGCAAAGCACAGTTCACAGAGGTAACAATGAGACCGGGAGCCTCATTGATAACTTTTAGGGGGAATTTAAATCCCCAAACACCAAACCAGTTGTGAGCAGGAGCGGATGGGAACACTAGGCTGCAGATCCAGCAAGAACTGGACAAATGATTTTGGAGGATAGTTTTGCTCTCGTGAGATCTGCTGAGGTCTAAGTTAATCAATAGGCAAAATCAGTGAAGGTACCAGTCCAATTCCAACTCTGTCTCACCTTCTCTTAGAACATGAAGAATACCCGATGCAGACAAGAGAACACAGTGATAGTATGAAGCCTGACATTTTTCACAGGGGTAGCACAGCTTCTCTTTGGTGCTATGGATGTAATAGCTCCCACAGTGGGTCTACATTTCTAGTTTATTTGCCACATAAGGGAACAGGAACTGCTAAATGAGCATCAAAGCTCAAATTAATCTTTAATCACTCCTCTGTGCTCCACCACTGGGACTCACTCCTGAGATTCAAAACCACTGCTTTAAGCTACCCTTCTTTTTATTGGCTGCCGCTCATAAATAGAAAGGTTGACCGGTGAGTGGGTGGGTGGGGCTTCTGTGACCATATTAGCGACATCTGCTCTCTTTGACATCAAAGACCCAAGAGCAGGAAATAACTGTCTGAAATGAAGTGTTTAGAGCAGTGTGAAGTCTGGGCCATATCATATCTGGGCCAGCAGGTGGTTAGCTTAACTGAGGGAAACATCTGGACGAATTCCACTAAATCTAACAAATTAGCAGTAAATTTCACATTTTGAGTAAAATAACCGAATCTAATCTTGAACTAGGGGATGAAAAAAATAATAAAATAATTTGAAGGCCATTCAAGCAGAAATCCTATTAACTTTTTATAGCACAGGATGCAAAAATGTATTCTGTCATCCTTTGAATAATTCAGCTTTATATTATAGCCAACACTCACGGCTCGAAGGAGAAATTATAGCCGGGGAACAGCAGCACACACTGGAGCCGCTGTTTCCCAAATTAATGGGATTATTATTTTTCCATTTAGTTTTTATGAAGTCTGTCGATTTAAATAGGCGTAGGTGCAAACTAAGGGTGGTTTGAACAGGCCACATCACTGCAGGGTGAAATATTAACCTTTAAATAACCTGATCTCAATTCCTCACTCAGAAAAATGACCCTGTTGAACACGGACCATATGTCGAGCCAACCACAGCCCCGCCGAAGGTGATAAACATTTTCACTACAAGAAAAGCAATTAAAAAAAAATCCACCTCAAATTAAATAATCGGGTTAGCGTTGGAAACATAACACAGGATTGGAGATGATACCAAGCTTGGCGGCTGAAAACGTGCAGATGATGTTGAGGAGGATGATGATGATGCGCTCAGCTGTCAAAACTGGGTGTGCAAAGGAGCCGAACGAACCGACGACACGCTGCTCTCAGTGTTTCACCTCCATTTGTTTTCCACTACAAAAATAAAATAAAGGATAATGAACTCGGTACCTGAACATCGCTTCGAACAGAGCTGTTTATCGGTCCATCCTGCACGGCTGCCGAGGCCGACCGTCCCCTCCAACGTCTGCTGATCTCTGCTGCTCACAGGAGCGTTTAAAGGGAAACACACCCTCCACACAGATCCTTCTTATTTCCGCACCTCAGCTATAATTTGGATCCTTATGCCAGAATATTCACAAGGCTGAGAATATGTGGAGAATATTTTACTGATAATAACAATAATAATAATAATAATAATAATAATAATAATAAATATTATTTTGTCTGAGGTGAAAGATCCTCATAGTCAGTGAATAATGAGTAGATCAGCTCAGATGATAAAATTAAATATTTAATTTCTAATACAGTAAAGAGCTCTGTGTTTTGGTTGGCTGGTGTTTATATAAAGAAAAGAAAATGCAATAAAAAATAAAAAGTAAAATTATGGTTAGGAGTGGATTTCATCAACTCGTGCCTTTTTTGCTCGCGAGCTTCACTGCTGCTCACGAACTGCGCATAACACTCAGTCAATGTTAAATTATCATCACCTGGCGGCAGTGGGCTAGAACAGCAGTCTGTGTAGCCTTTGAATTGTGCCTGAAGTCATCTAAAAATTAATGCGTGCATATAATTAAGTATGCTTTTCTTTAGAGATATAAGTTCACCTCCTACATCGTTCCCTCGCTCACCTGGAGACCGCTGGAAGCACTGTGAGAATCATGTTCTTTGATTTCTCCAGTGCCTTCAACACCATTCTTCCCTCGGTTCTAAAGGACAAGCTGGTGAACTCTGGAGTGGACCATCACCTCACTACCTGGATCCTGGACTACCTCACCGACCGACCACAGTATGTGAGGACTCAGGGCTGTGTGTCGGACAGGGTCGTCTGCAGTACGGGGGCCCCACAGGGAACGGTTCTGGCTCCGTTCCTCTTCACCATCTACACTGCAGACTTCTCCCACAATTCCACCCAGTGCTTCCTGCAGAAGTTCTCTGATGACTCTGCAATAGTCGGCCTCATCACTGATGGGGACGACAAGGAGTACAGAGGTCTGACCCAAGACTTTGTGGACTGGTGCCAGCTGAACTACCTCCAGATCAATGCCAGTAAAACCAAGGAACTGGTGGTAGACTTCCGCAGGCACAAGCATTCTCCACTGCAACCACTGAACATTCAAGGTATGGACATTGAGGCTGTGGACAGCTACAGGTACCTTGGTGTTCATCTGAACAATAGACTGGACTGGACTCATAACTCAGACGCCCTCTACAGGAAAGGGCAGAGCAGGCTGTACCTGCTGCGGAGACTGAAGAAATTCTATGACTCTGTGGTGGCTTCTGCTATCTTTTATGGCGTGGTCTGCTGGGGCGGCAGCATCTCTGCTGGGGACAGGAAGAGACTGAACAGGCTGATCCGAAGGGCCAGCTCTGTTCTAGGATGCCCTCTGGACCCAGTGGAGGTGGTGAGTGACAGGAGAACGGCGGCTAAGCTGTCATCCCTGATGGACAACATCTCCCACCCCATGCAGCAGACTGTGACAGCACTGAGCAGCTCCTTCAGTGGGAGACTGCGGCACCCACGGTGTGGGACGGAGAGATTTCGCAGGTCTTTCCTCCCCACTGCTGTCAGACTCCACAACAAAGACTTTAACTGATCAAGCACACACATCCATACATATGCAATAATACTAAGTGCAATAATCCTTTCTGTCATCGTTGTATTTTTACTCAGTTGTATATAGTATTTGTATTCTATTTTTATCTTATTGTATATTTATTTTATTTTATTCTACTGTATATAGTATTTTATTTTATTCTATTCTGTACAGTTGTGTACTGTATTTATTCTTATTGTATTCTAATTTTTGCCTCATAACTTTTGCACTGTCCACTTCCTGCTGTGACAAAACAAATTTCCCACGTGTGGGACTAATAAAGGTTATCTTATCTTATCTTATCTTATCTTAAGTTATGTTGTAGGAATAACTTGGGGGCCCATGACCCTCTTACGGGACACGCCCATCTGGGACTTTACACCAGTTGCACCTAAGAACTGAAGAAGCTTCTGGGATGAGAGATGAAACGTCTTCAAGAAACTTAAAGAAGTGCAGACGCTTTTCTTTCCAAGCTCCTTAGTCTAATAGTTTACAGATTAAAATGAGAGAGAAGAAAATAACTTACAGATGCTAAATTACAACACAGTTCCTCAAAATTATTGCATGAATCAACGTTTTGATTCTGCAAGGTTTTTTTTGTTTTTTTGTATTTTATTTTATTTTTTTTACAAATAAATTAGTTATTCATTGTACTAAAACATTTTGAGATAAAGAAATAACAAATAAGAGCTGTTGAATGTAAAATCCTAAAATAACAGCTTTTTAAATGTACACACATCTAAACGCTGGAAACTATGGTGGAGGGTAGCTCACAGACTCAGCTCTGCTGTCAAAAGGAAGCTTACAGGAAATAACAGCTTAATGTCTGCAGAGTCCACACGTTAGTTTGTTACGCTGAGACATTTGAATGTTTTCTGGCATTTGCCTTATTTTAGTAAAACATTTTTATTTAGTTTTATTTAGCTTTAATTCACATGTTGAGCTATTTTTGTACGATTTTTAAAATATTTTGCTCACATTTTCACTTGTTTTATTAATTTTCTTTATTATTTTATTCTTTTTATTCTACCCATGTATATTTTCATTTATGTTTATGCTTATTTAAAACATTGCATGTTAATTAATGTGAGCACTTAAACATAAGCAACATTTTAACTTTTTATTTTATTTTGTCGACATTTTTGTTTACATCCGTTTCCTTCAGTTTTTTGTTGTTGTTTCTTTCTTTTTCAAATTCAGGATCATATTTTGGCTGCTCTAACGGGAAGCTTGGGACAAATAAAGTGTATTAATAAGCGAACAGACTCTAGTAATTAATGACTACGTATGTACTGACGTCAAACGTATGCTGTAGGAGCGTGTTGCGATGGTAACGGACAACACACCGGACAAGAGCCGCTAAACAGGGTCGAGATGACCATGTCGCAGCTGGATGTCGACGGTTTTCCAATTTCGTGGAAAGATCCACAGGATGCAGACACAGTATCCATGTTTGATGTGATTTACGGCAAAGTGAGAGAGGTTTGTGTTTTTAACGGACACGTGGGTGATGTGTGAGTGAAAATGAAGCTGAAAGACCCCAAAACATAAGCAGCAGTATATATACACGCGTTGTGTTATGAAATGTCATTTAAATGACATCACACAGATGAGTGAAGAGTTAGCTGGACAAGATTTAGGATCGAAAACGAAAACAAAGATTTAAATAAAGACATTTTACTATTTCAGGAAAAATATGATCTAATGGCAGCAACAGGTCTCAAAAAGGGAAGGGGGAAAACAAAAGACTGGACAAGTAAATGGGACTAAAAAGAAACAGCTGGAGGAACATTTTACAAGTAATTAGGTTCATCAGTAACGTTATTGGGTATAAAAAGAGCAACTCCGAGAGGCACAGGCTCTCAGAAGTAAAGGTGGGCAGAAAACTACATCTACAAATTGTGGAACAGTTATAGAATATTCTTCCTCAGTGATGGAGTCAAAATGAAAGAGTAAGTTACAAGGAAAGAGTATGAATATCTCATCATCTACAAATAATACCATCAAAGAAATCTCTGTGCATGAGGGACAAGGCTGAAAATCAACTTTAGCACCAAGGGAAATGGCAGCTTGCACATCTGGAAAAGCAGTGCTGGAATACGTATACAGGTTTTAGTGCAACATTTACACCCATTCAGAATATTGCAGTATGACAATGCATCATCAGCATCATCATAGTATAGACAGTAAGAGTGTGTGTGCAAATCACCATGTAGACACCTGCCATCCCTACATGCACTGTCCTTCTTCCTGTTGGGGTTGAAGCACCCTGATTATGAGGCTGTGGTGCTCTGCGATTGGCTGCTGTGTTAATCGCACCAGTGTGTTTTGCAGCAGGCTTTGTTTAATAGGACCTGCAGAACAATAGGTTTCTAGGATATGCGCTTTTATAAACAGTGAAGGCGGGCAGCTCGCTTAGCCCTCACTCAGTCAGTGCTTCAATCGGACGGCGAAAGAAGTCAGACGGAGATTAAAGCAAAGAGATGGAGAAAAAGGGTTTTGAGGAAAAGGAGGAGGAAGAAACTAGGACTAGTTTATTTCACCACTTAGTGACACGGAGGAAGAATCTGGGGGATGATGTGGTTTGTATTTAGCTTAATATGGAAAGGAGCTCAGGTTGTAAATATTGGCACACGGCCTTAAATTTTAAATGCGCACCTGACAATGATCCTCCTTTTGTGCCTGGATTGCATGTCAGAGCTTATTCTGTTGTCACTCTGCAGGCTTTCTAAGTCCCCCCCACCTTCTCCCCACAGAAGATCATCCTGCAGCGGCTGATAATGATTTCTCGGCTCCCCCACGACCTTGCTGATAGGACAGACCTGGGAGGTCAGCCAGCAATTACCTTAGAGCTACAGAGACTGAGGGACTAATCACCTGATGCCAACTGAACCCAGTTTTTCTTTAGGGGAATGATCCTGTTATACTGGCAGGACAAATTAATACTCCTACTTAATTTGCTGCCCTGAAATACCGAGGCTTCTTGTTGAATCTTAACAAAAGCAGTGAAAGACTGTCTCGCTTCCTGTGTTTGGTGCTTTTATAGCTTTCACACCTCCATGTGTGAGTGAGTCTGCAGGCCTTACCTGTAAAAAAGAAATAAATTCTTTGACTAAAGTCAGAATAGAAAGCCCACAGAAGCCCCCAGGAAAAGCTGTGCCTGTGTGTCGAAAACAGAAGGAAGCCTGAATACAGAGTTTTTAAAAACTGTGATACTTAAAAAAAAATAAGGTCTTAATTTTTTTAATGATTTTCCAGTAATGAAACAAATAAATTATAGCAAATAAGATTCTTTTTGAAAATTTTTTTTTTTAAATTAACCTCTTAACCCTCACCAGAAGTGTGTGCTATGAAACAAGATGAATGGGTTTGTTGGATTTGTTATGTTGCGATTAAAGTCAGACTTCTGTGCCGTGAAGGTGGCTCTCTTATTTACCTGGCTAGATCACCATGGCAACTGATTCTGAACACATAATTTGGTTCAGAGCAGGTCGTGTTCAGAGTTTAAAATAATCTGAAAGCGCCATATTTTCTACTACACTTCTGGAATCGCAGCTAAGAGAACACAGATAAGAAGTTTAATTAGTCTGTCTGATGGATATTTATCTGAGAGAATATTAATCAGTAAAATCAATTTCACTTTGATTTGGCCAAAGACTCACCCCAGATCAAAGGGACTTCTTGAATCTCTGTTCAGTGGCCTAAAAACTGAAGAAATATGCCATGTTCGGTCTTATGCTTAGCTAGTAGTTGTGGCTCGTTTGTAAAAGGCTGAATATAATACACAATTCTGCAATTATTAGGTCTTGAAAAGACTTTAAAGGCATTCATTTTGCTTTTTAAAATGATGAACACTAAAACAAGAGGGTTTTGTCTTCTGTTGTTTCCACGCAGCTCATTATGAAAATCTCAACTTTCAGCTGAACAAACAGTACATATGGGATCACATAACAGGCCTGCTGCTGATTTATCCATCCTACCTGCTGCACATCATTGAAGTAAGTTCTCCTGCACAGAAACAACAAATGTATGGCTGAAGTTTGTGAAAGTGTGTGCTCAAAGTTTGCTGTGCCTCTCTCTTCCAGTCGTCCAGGGATATTCTGACTTCTGTTTTGAGAGACGTCAAAGTCATGCAACAACAGCCACACCGGTAATCTTTCTCATACTGCGGGTGACTTCTATATATATATTATACGCTGAGATACGGTGCATCCCATTTCACTCATATTTATTGCTTGTCTGCTGTCTGTTAAGAAATTCATGCCACAGAGCCCACAGAGAGGGCAAATATAATCCCGTGGTTGCCTTGCATCAGTTCAGATTCACAAAAGCTTATGATGATGTCTGAGCAGTCGACTCCTTGCAGTGTGTTTTAGCATAAAGACGCAAAGCTGTTGCATCTCTGCTGCCGTCATCTCGCTCAGAGTGTCTGACCATTCCATACTTTTGTGCTTCCTACTGTTCTAACATGTCAAAACTAAGCTTTTGGTATGAAAAACAGCATTTGAACCTTAACTATCATAAATACATGTCTGGCATCTGTAATAATTCAAGCTGCATGGCAATTAGTAAAAAAAAAATTAGAAAGTTCTGGACTGAAATGATGAGGCGCTGTTGCCTCGCTCCAAAACGGCCACCACATTGACACATCTTTCCAGTCAACAGCAGTGGACCATTGTGGCATTTTTGTGTATATTTCTATGAAGCAGCTCTAGCTGGTCGGCTGTTGCCAGTGTGGCAAACCCCCACAGTGCTTTTGTTGCTTTAGACCAACAGCTGCTCGTTCTGGCTGCAGGCAAATAAATATTTAAGCTTTCACACACAACCTGCTGTTGTGTGTTGTGTGAGCCATAATAATTATTAGCACATCCTTTTTAGCACCTTGCTGGAAGTAAAGATTGTGTTTTTGGATCACAACCCTCAAAGAAGGCTGTTCCAGCAGTGGAGCTACAAGGTTAGCTGTCTTTTATCTTTGCACTTGATTGCTTGAAGTACTTTAATGCATGAGAGGATTATGAGAATACAAACGTTTTAGTACATAAATGAGACATAATAAATACCTTCAGTTGTAGCCAATCTCATGTTTTTAAAGTTCAAGACATTGGATTCTCTGATTGTCTCCTGTGTGTATGTATTGCTGTGTGACTGAAGGTGCTGGGTGCAGATCAGGTGATCAGGGATCCCGCAGTTAAGGTACTGGAGGATGAAGATGTCAGCATAGAGACCCTTGTATGCAGCGTCCTGTCAACGCTGCAAAATCTGAGCAAAAAGCTTGAAAAATCTAAGGTGTGTTTCTTTGCAGATGATCTTTTTCCGTTTTGAAAACCAAAACTTTCTCAGAGTTTTTCTATGACTTCATGATTGCAATCTAAGGCTCTTCCTGGGTCAGTGTTGGATGAGACACCGCAGCTGATCGTCCATCAGAAAATTCTGGAAAGGCTTTTGGGTCGAGAGGAACTCCTGAGCCTGCAGCAGTACCTAGATATGTACAAATCCACCTTAAACATCAGTATTGAGTTTGGTAAGTGACAGCTTCCAGTTGGTGTAAAGATTTATAAGAACATTTCCAATATGAAAATATTGGAACTTAGTAAATACGCACTGATCCTTGTGTTGGATCAGATACATATGAATGGAGATATGATACATACGTAACTCTGTCAATTTTCTGATGGTTTAACAGGACAGCTGAATCCAAGAAACCTTTTCTCCGCTGTTTAACCCCTGAACAAAATGTCAAAGGCCAACTGTTTCCTGACTGACTGTTTCCCTGTAGTGATTTTGGTTCCTACACTGAAAATATTTGCTGCACTTACTGTTCACTTATTCTAGTGATACTTGTGGTCGTCAGACATCCTCTGCCTTTCCTGTCTTTTATGATAAATAGTACGTGTCCAAAAGATCCATTCACTCTTTGCTTCCCCTTTATTGTCTGTGTACCTAGCCATGTATTGCAATCTAATAGTGTGGCATTGTTTTCCCATTCTAAAATAAAGACATATTCAAAAAATACATCACTTATGTCTTCCAACAGGTTTTTGTATTATAACAAGTCACGTGCAAATTGTCATCTGTCACAGTACAGTGGTCTACTACATCCTCAGTTAATAAATGCCAATAAATGAATAAATGCTAGCATTCTGCTACTGCTAACACATACTTGTGCTCAGTTAAAGATTTATAAGGGCACTTCCTTGAATCTGGATTAGTTAAAACAGATTAGAAGCTTTCATGTGTGTATAAGAAGCTGGTGGTTATGCAGGTTAACAAGGACAGTTAAGGCTTGATTATTTTCCTGCTGCTGTGTCTGCCTTGGTTTGAATGACATTGTGAAACTGATCATATGGGTTCGTCTGGACTTCTATGTGCCGCCCATCAGAGAATTTACTTTAAAACACAGCAGCTGCAGGTGGTGGAGTTCATGCTCGGCTGTGGTGTCTGCAGCTGTCCACGTTCCTTAAATCAAAATGACAGATGCTGTAAAGAGGCTCCTGATGCTGTGGTGTCCCGAACACTCACAGGAAGCTGTTTTACTACAGTCAAAGGGGTCTTCATGTTTTGTCTTGAGCTCTTCTAATAAAAACGTGAAGAAAAAGTTTACCTACAAAGTTTTCAGTTTTTGTTCTATAGTTCAGTATCTTACAGGCTCCCTAAAACCGAACATCGGTGAGCGGAAGTGATATTAGAAGTTCTCTGAAATACCCCGTGAGGATTTAAATGTCCTTTTTCACTGTTGTACTTGCCGGAAATATTTTTTGCACTCCTGATATTCCAGAAGCCTTTCTGTCATCAGTTACACCGATTTAAATGACATTTATTTGGAACAAAAAGCACAGAACATCCGAGTAATATAAAAAAAAACATTTTTAATAGTTTCAACATTCGGATGAGGATTAATTTAATTTTTTTCTCATTTTATCTTACACTGTGTTCCACTTGGTGACTGAGAGAAAGCAAGTCCAAGAAAAGGCATTTCATCTGTACTCCAAACTTTAAAGAGTCCACAGCATCACTACAGTTTGACACAAAGAACTTTTTAAAAAAAGATTCCTTGATCGATCACGTTTTCCCTTTTTGTTTTGGCCCCCGTTACTTGGAACTTAAAGTTATGCAAAGAAAAGGATGAATGGAGATGGCTGCATGCACCACAGTGTAATCTACAGACTGCGCGGGTCCACGTGACCCTACACGTCACAGTTTTTTTCTCATTTGTAGTTGATTTTAGCAGATGTTCAGTCCTCTGAAAGTGAATTATTCTGTCTTATCCTCCATGTTGTTTCGTTGTTGGTCTGTTTGGAGTCTGATGTGCTTTTCTTGATTTGCTATAGATAAAACCGGTGGAACATATGAGGATACGTGGTGAAAGCAAACAGGAAATCATGAATGATTTAAATAAACTCTTAGCAGAACTGACGGGGGAGCTTGACTCAAAAAGGTCAAAGGGCAGCACTGAATTTTCTTCTTTTCTTGCAAAGGTCGATCTATTCACTTATAAAAAATAAATACAAGCACATTTAAATAGGACCAAAGATGAGACGCATTTCATAGGCATGGTTAAAAAGCATGCTTCCGACTTCCACACAGCACAATGTCGATATTTGATACCCCTGCACACTCTTACTCTTGAAACTATGTCACAACACACACAATCCGCCTTTATCACAACCTATGTGGTGGACATTGTCTATCAGTACATTCCACCGATGTAAAAAAAGGCCTTTGAAGTTTAGTGCTCAAAGGGCATGCTTGCAAAAGCTGCAATACTGAAAACTGTCTCTGGAATCTCTTGCCGGCTGTCTTTGCTCGACTGGGTTATTGTTAATAAAGTCGTGTTTGACGTGTTCTGTATGTACAGGCTTTGATCTGAGACCCTTTAGTACAAAAACGAAGAGCAGCACATTGTAACACAGAAACAAAGACAGGACAGACCATTCACCTCAGCACAGCCTAACTGCAACAGCAAATTTGAAAAAGAAACTTTTTTCTAAATATTAAATTTATATTGTAAAACCATGCTGCATTGATTCAAAATCAGCATTTCTTTTATGGCAAAAAATAAGAAGTTGGTAGATTCAAAGATCATTTGAGTACCAGGAAATAATCTGAAACTGTTTTTATCAGTAATTAAATGGATTTTCCAAACATAACAGAGAAATCTGCTCAGATTTGACAACTTTTCTTGGTGCTAAGTGATAGAAAGCTTTCTTTTTCTACAGTTTTTGGAGGAAGCTTAATTTATAGTCCTGTGCTGAATCTGCCTATGCTAAAAAAAAAAATCAAGGCCCTGAAAATTTAAAATCCGGGCCACACATTTAAACAGGTTCTTAATGTTCGGCCTGGCCAGTGTTCTTTGTGGTCTGCACAGCAACAAGCGTCCCATCAAAATGACATAGACAGGCAGACATCCACAGCACCTGCAAGCTAACAAGCTAGCCAACGAGGAAAGCAAGAAAGGGCTCGGTCTCGTAGTAATAGAGCTGCTTCATTCACTGTTATGTGCATCCAGAAAGGCTCGGCTATGGTACAGGGAAACAACACGATCAAAGATCATGATCAATCTACGTCTCATGACGGCTTTATGTCTACAAAGTGAGGAGGCTATATGAGTGATACATTATTAATTAAAACTACAAATTAAAAATGTCTGGATCCTCGTGTGATTTCTCTTTCCTATCATGGTCCTTTAGTGACTCCCACGCCATAATGAGTGGCGTGGTTTTACAATCATACTTGTGCGCTGTTGTGTCTGCAGTGCTCTGCTGTGTTGGACTTGGAGCTGATAAATGCGGAACAACGGGAAAGAGAGAAAAACACCACACGATTACGGTGGTAAATCAGACCCAGCGTTGCTTAATCTTACTGCTCTCATCAGCGTTGGTTCAGACTAGATCTCAGGACCAGTCATTATGAGATCACAGTGGAGCATTTAGTATCTTGACAGCCAGACATTCCTCTGAGGAGGTGGTGGAAAGCGAAAACACAGGTAAATAGAGAGCAAATAGATAAAAAGGAGCCAGAAACACCTGCCCAGCTGAATGGCAATGTGGCTCCGCAGCTACTGGATGTGTAAAAACCAACTGTTTAAAATGTCCTTGTTGGAATTACAGTCGTAATATAAAAAAAATAAACATGAATGGAGTCATTTCCCCAATATTCAATTCTATTAACTGTCAAAATGAGTTGTTTTTCAGTGTTACATTAACACTGGGTAATGAATTAGCACTGTGAGCACACTAAATGCAACTAGAGCCTATTACACGTTGGTTCACAGAGGCATTATCCTTGTAATAATCAATATACATTTTTGAGCATATTACCGCCACTGTAGGCTGCGTTGCCACAGCAGCAAGGTGGATGCCAGACTATGCCAGAGGATATAGGGTCTCTACAGGTTAATGCAGCACTATAAATTAAGCTTTAGTCAGATAAAAGAAGCATCTTGATGGTTTGGATGACCTCTGGTATTTCTTTTTTGTACCAATTTAAAATTTCCTGCTTGTAAAAAAATCTGTTCTATGCAAACTGTTGTTTAACGTCTGTTTTCTCTTAAACATATAACCTCTGTTGCATTGCTGTCTGGTTCTGCTGTCTAAAAGACAGTAATGCAGCAGTTTTCATGCAGAGTCTGTTTAAACCTTTCAAACTGTGATCGATGTGTCACTGCAATTGCAGCACCCCACAGACACTTATTTTTATTTCTAAAGAACACACAATCACATTTCCACGAATCTCAAATATACCAGGAAATGTGCTCAAAGCTGCACGAGACGTCTTGAATTTTCACGTAGCTGCAGTGATGTGTTGTTGTTTTTTTGTTGTCTAAAATCAAATCTAAAAGTTCAAGAGGTTCATTCTGAGGTCAGAAACTGCAAAACAAGCACTAGATTTGACCTTTCAGTCTGCTGTACCATGTTAGGCTTGTGCTAGTTCCAGCAACATTATAATATTATACATATAGTATGGATGTTCATCATCATTTATCCTTTTCAATACAGTATTTGTATATATCTATATATTTATATATATATATGAATTTCTCCCTTCAGTATATACAGAACAAACTGTATAGAGGCTTCGGTATTTACAAGAGTCCTGTGAGTGATATCGCGCTTTAAAGAAAGACACAGGTAGAGCAGCACAGTGACTTTGAGGCCATGTGTAGTGGATGTTTTCAGGACAAAAGGAAAGTCGTATAAATCTGGATAGGTCACAACAAAAACCCACCGCAAGGCAAATAGCAAACTACTGCTGTCGTACACAAACCTTGTTACTCCAGTTTAACTGATTTTCAAGTTTCCTCTTAAACTGAACCTGCGATTCCTGAAAAGGTTTTGATGCGGCAGCAGAGCAATTCTGGTCCCACGTTTGAATACTTGAAAAAAAATTCCTCGGATTCATGTGCAGCGGAAACGACCACAGCTCCTCATACCTAGTAAAAAGTATTCAGAAATATATCTGTATAAATACTCTCATCAAAATAAACACATATACACACATATCTTTGCACTTGCCTCTGGTTCACTAAAATAGACCAAAAATATCAGCATCATCAGGCAGGGTTCCTATAAACTGTAATGTGAATGTGGCTGAAAATGACAGAAAAACTGTGCTTATTTATAAGAGACCAAGCACCTTTTTTCTGAAAGTGTCTCTAGACTGTTTTCTGGCTTTGCTACGATATGATAGGATGTTAAATGTGTCAGGGCTGTTGCTCTTTCCCAAGAATGGTTCAATATGTCAATACAAGTTTGCACTGTATGAATCCTGGAGTGTGATACAGCAGGTTCATAATCTCTAGAATCTTTGTTTTTTAGCATCTTTCCACCTGTTGTTTGCGTTCTGTGTCAGTCTTACTGGTTTCATCAGTGTTGTTTCAAACAACATCTGCTAAGCTAACAGGAAACACAAAGTTAGCAGCTGGCCGGTGCATTTAATGGAGTGTTGGGCACCTAAAGAGCCAGATATGTCTCTCTGAACAAGTGGTGGAGACCAAAAACTGAGCTAAAAAGAGAAAAAGTATAAAGAAAAGCAGATGAATTGAATGATATTGCTTGCTAAGGGTGTACGGCAATCACACATGCCTAAATATGACTGCCTAGCAACCACTGATCGCTAAGGAAAAAGTTATATTGGCCGAATCGTTGGAGGTGAGTGACGGGTGAAATTGGTCACAAAGAGGGTGTTGCACCAAGAACCTCTGATCTAAATTATTATTGCATGGCACAAGCATGCAATTGGGTTTCAGAGTGCAGTGAAGCACATGCTACTTCCTATGTGGAAAGGAAACTAAGACTGTTCACCATCAAAGTAAAAGTCGTGCCTTACAACTGCATCCAACACCTTTCAAAACATGAAACCTTTTTACTTCAACTGTTTTTAAGGCGAATGATCTCCATTTCCACTTTGCATCCCACTTTCCACAGTTTCATTACTGCTCAGCAACTGTGGCAATCTGCAAGCAACCAAAGCAATCACAAGGTGGTCTTTGGTGCATTACCGTATACCGCTTTCTGACCAATTTCACCTAGAGACTGCCAGCAATTTCTAGCAACCATTTGGCAACCAGTTGGGGAATACAAATTTTCCCTAGTGACCGGTGGGTACCATGGGATCACTGACAGGTCTTTAGGCCTGTGCGACTGGGACCTTAATCTACAGAGTCAGGATGAGGAGGTTAACCATTTAGGAGTTCAGAGTAGATCTGCCAACTCAGGTGGTTTGATTATGATGCCTCCTAAGTGAAGTGTTGTCGGCATGTCTTACTGGGAGGCGACCTTAGCCCAAAGCCAGCAGATGCTATTCAGATTTGAGCTCTCGGCTGGCTGCAGAATTCCCCGGTTTCCCACCAGAAAACCTGGAAATTGGGAGATCTGGGCATCTCTGCCTACCATGGCCTGAACCCAGGTAGGCAGCAGAGAAATAATGGATGGGTGGATAGCAGGTCCAAAAGTGATACAATATAAATTAATTAGGTTTGCCAAATTATTTAGCATAGTGTTTGAGGACAAGCATCGAATCGCTATCGAGCTAATGCGCTGACCAACAGTTAGTGGGAACAGCACAGCAATGAGCCCAGCAAAAGTAAAGAGAGGACAACTACCTGCCAGCAAACTGCCAAGTAAACAATGCAAAATGTTTAATATTTAATAGGTTTCTGTCTAATGTCTCGTGACAAAGGAAACACACAAGAAAACCCCACAGGGCACCCCACCCACAGAGCTGGCCATTCAGAGCCTCCGCTACTGCTATGTGGATGAAGTTTATTTTATTTTTAAAAAATAAACGATGTGGTTATGCACTCCAGGCTTCACAGTTACAAACTTGTACATCCTTGAAACTGAAATGACGCCTAACTCGACAAAGAAAAATGAAAGATCTCATTCGGCTTTGCGTCCTGCCAAAAAATATTTCTGAGTAAACACAATTGAGTTTTTCATTTTTCATACTGGTGGACGTTTCATAAACTACAGCATGTATCTCATATACTTTATAGCTCCCTGACAGCATCAACTATATAGCTCTCCCATGGATACAAAATATGATCTGGGTTAGATTGTTAATCATATCATACACTCTGAAAATGTACAGTATAAACAATAAATATCCAGTGACTGATATCCTGACTGAATGCCTTGTTATAAAGAGAAAGGAGTGATTGGGCGTTTAACCGCTTCCCAACCTGCTTAGTTAACTTCTAAACATCTAAAACATTCATTCCTGTTTTTGCTCCACGACACCGACAGTGCAACATCATATAATACAATTACCACTTCACTTAACACGTCACACACACTAGCAAAACACACACGCGCGCGCTTTCCAAAACGACACACTGGCACACTCACAGTGAACGCTCAAGTGGGACTGAAATTCGGGGCGAGAGGCGTTTCAAGCCAAGAGGAGATGAACGGTGAGAGAAGGAAGTTAACAGGACAGATATACAGCACTGTGTTAGTTTGTTCTGAAATTCACTCATGAAAAGCAGCAGCAGCAGCAAAGAGCACTCATCCTCCCAGCAGCCTGTTTCCAGTCTCGTGTGAGTGAGGTTAAAGGCAATATTGCAAGTGAATCAAATAAGGCAGAAAGAAAAAGAAAACATTAAGTTAAATTAAAAAAAACAAACATCCAGCCAATGCAAAATGTCAAATCTTCCCCTGACAACACTGTCGCCAAAACCGTGTGTATGTGTGTTCACCAGATTTTTTTGTTTTACTGTATAGAAGTGCTTTTTTCTTTTGTACGCGCTGGCCCCTCTGGATCGAGCACAGGTGAGGCGTGATGAGGAGGTCCAGAGGTGGCCGCTGAGGCCGAAGTTAATGCAGCTGGAGAGGTGAAAGGTCAATGAATGATCGAGACGGCACAGCAGTAGCTTGACGGAGAGGGTGGGGGAACTCGGTGGCGTCATAGCACTGTGCTCTCAGACTCTTCCTCCGAGTCCTCTTTGCTGTTGGCCGACTCCAGCTGTGCCACTGAGTTCCTGAAGGGGGAGATGTGGGTCAAGTCAAAAATACTGTCCAGTTCCATGTTAATGACGGGGATGTCCAAGTTGCAGAGGGAATCTGGCAGAGCAGAGAGAACAAGCAGAGGATAAGCAGACAGATAAAAACCGTGCAAACAGAGAAAAAGATCCTTCCAGATGTGATTCATCAGCGCTGAATGATGTCACACACAGCAGACGTCCAAACCAAGGTTGGAAGCGTGAAGAAATAAATTAAAAATGCATGACAGGGATTCACAGTGTAAAAAGTGTATGTGTCTGTTGAACATCACCATTCCCTAATGGTGGGCAGGGGTGTCAAACATGAGGCCCAGGGGCCAGAATTGGCCCAGAGAAGACTCCAATCTGGCCCGTTGGATGACTTTGAAAAATGTGAGAGCTTGTGTCTGTGTGGAGCTAGCTCTGTGTAGAGGGGACAATGACACAACAAACACTAACTATCGATAAAGTTAGATCATTTTGACCAAACTAGCATTTTATGCAACACAATTAAGATTTCCTGTCACTGAAGGCTATTTGTCAAAATCAAAATCCTGCTGATGTACCACATGGACTTAATATATGCAGGCAAAACAAAATCCAAACAATATCTGTGCAGTTTACAAGCTCTTTTTATCCACTGCAAGCAAGCAGGCAACAAAGGGTCATGGCTTCTGAGGCAAGGCAAGTTCAGCGTACCCAGGATCTCTTTCTGTTATCTGGATTCACCCTAACGTCAACAATCAGGCTAAACCCCGGCATGCATCAGTCTAACTATGAGAATCTGACCAGACACTTTTATCAGTAAGACTGGAAAACAATTGCTAAAAAAACAAGGTTTAGTCTATATTAACCCACAAAAGAAAACTAAAAACTCAGACTGTAAGGCTGACAGTAAAAATTTGATGGTTTACAATCAAGAGGCTCAAGGAAACATGATGCTATTTTACAGAGAACTGATTGGTCAGTAGGTGGTGACTTCATAACTGTTAATGTCTAATTTTAAACATTTTCTGCTTCGATCCAGGTTAAGTCTACGCCATGTTACCATGGTAATATACCTAGTAAAGGCAAACAACCTACATAATACTGAAAACCCCAGGTTAGACCTGAAGTTACCTGGATAAGCTGAGCTCTCCCTTCATATATTACAGACCTTTGGTGCTTGTGCTTACCTACCTATATAGAAATTTGGCTAGTATGCCATGCAGTACATGTGTACTTATATAATATATTACTATAATATTGACAGTGAAGACATCTAGTGTACAACATGTGATGGAAAACTGGTGCAGACAGGAAGTGCGCTGACTGAGGGGCAGAGGTGGAGTCGGTGGGAAGCGTGAGGGGTGTGTGGGTGGGGTGACAGATGAAGCCAGGGAGAGGAGGGGCAGCTGGAGCAGGGCATTATGGGTGGGAATCCTAAGCGCAGGAGAGGTTGGGATCGGTGGACAGTTCGGTATGCACGCCCATGTAAGCCATGCATCAGTCTCAGCCACCATGCAAAGGCCAACAAAATGAGTAAAAGGTGGACTGAACACAGCGCCTGTATGGTCATATGAGTGAGGCTGCCGTAGAGCAGCGGATAATCTTAAACCTGCATCTACTGGCAGCTTCACTGTGTTGTGAGCATGTCAGCGGGCGGCTCCATGTTTGGGGTTTGAGGGTACCGAAGAGGAGGGGAAGGGAGGCTTTAGCACAGAAACTCCTGCTTACCCTAAAAGTCCCTCTCACACACAGAATCACACTGAACCTCTCGCCTCATACCGCTGCAGGTGAGACGATAAGAGGGGAAGAAATTACATGAAAATCATGATTAGAACCTGCAGGTGATGGAGAGGCAAACAAATGCATAATACACGACTCCTCTCCTGATGGAGAAAGACACCAAAGGATAGTCTGCTGTTATCCTACATCTATCATTATTGCCAATAAATGTCATGAATAGACCAAAAACAGTGCATATACATCCAAGTACATGAACTTAAATAATAAGAATTCATAATATTTGTCAAACTATGGCATATTATTTATCAAATCTACATATAGCAAAAAGAATTACGAACACAAAGTGCTTTAAAAAAAACGGTCAAGTTTAGCATTACCAGTGGACATGCTTTCCCCAGGAGAAAGGCCGTCCAGGAGCCCAGATGAGTGCTCCAGAGGCTGGGGACTAGTGCCAGGTGTGGATGGAGGCTGAGGAGGAGGCAGGCTGGGTCTCTGCCGGGGCGGCTTGGGGGTCGGTCTGGCCTTGGTGAGAGTCCCAGCCAACGAGGGCGGAGAGGACAGAGACGGGGTGGTGACCATCTGCAACTGACCCGGGGAGCTGATGGTGGCATATCCCTGCGGGTAGCTGAAGCCATATGGGGAGGGGGTGCTGGGAGGAGTGGGAGACAGGCTGACTGGAGACGGTTGACCTGTGGACTGGTCGGACATGGCTCCCGTTGGGCAGTAAGGGCCTTTAGGCGGGATCGGAGCCAGCTTCTTTGCTGTAGAGAGACCACCAAGAAAGAACACAAGATGATCGGGGTCTGCAATATTTCCAAAATAAAAGGCATTTAGGAGTCTGCTAGCATGTCTGTTTGTCAAATTAAAAGTGTTCAATTTTTATAGAAATCTGCGGTGATGCTTTAAAGTACCAGATTTTCAACATAAAAGAAAAAAAAAACTTTGACATGCCCATTTTTCCAAAGTAAAAGAAATTTGCTTTAATTTGCCAGATCTTCAATATAAAAGCTGACAGTTATAAAAAAAAGTTACCATGATAACAAATGTCTCTATATTTCTGAAATAAAAGCAACCAGTGTTCTTTAAGAATAAACAAATGTTTTGACATGCTATTTCAAAGTAAAAATCACTTTTTAGTCATCAAAGTTTAAGTGTAAAAGAGATGCTTGTCTCGTCTTCAGTCTAATAAACTCTGAAGTTCCCCAGACAAATTTACCCATCAAATTGCTCATTAATTATAATATCTGCCTTAATTAAACCCTTCAATCATACAGCATCAAGTCAAGTTTATTTCTTCAAACTAAACATCGCCCTCTTATCCTTCGAGTCTGAGGATATTTTAGCAGATAAAACTCTACTGCAGCCGTCAGTCAGTTATTATGTGGTTTTCCAAGGACCTTTTCCCCTCTTTTGTGCAGCAACCAGAGTGGAAACAATGAATGAAAACACACTTTTGCAGATTTACATCCTCTCCACACGAGAGGTTCCACTGTAACTTAAAATGACCTCATTCACAGCACTGACTAATAGATTAGACAGATTCTATTAGAGCCTGAGAGACAGCTAAATGAACACAGCGGGCTGCATCTTTTTTTGCTGTCACAGTACTGGGCAAGGTGCAGAGTTTTTAAATCCCCAAAAGTAATTACTTTTACTATTTTTACCATGTTTTTGAGACAAGCTGAGATCCCTGTCATACACGCCCAGTTAGTTGTATTACCTCTCCTCAAGGTGTGTGGACTGTGGTCAGAGAGCTGCGACTGTCCACTAGAGGTCACTGCTCCCTGGAGCCCCTTCTGTCCAATCACTGGAGACAGCTCCTTGTTCTTCAGAGTACTGAGGAGAGAGTGAAGGACAAAACACACAAACACACACATTATGATATACTTTCTTCTGTAATTTACTAACCCTGCCTCCATAAATCTCTTTGTTTTATAAAAAAAAAGGAAAATATATGAGAGCAGCCATAATTCCCGGTGACCACTGTTGCAGATGGACATGTAGCTTATACAGTTGAGCAAAAAAAGAAGGAAAGAAAATTCAAACATATCCTGACAGCTTAATACATTTTCCTTACTCCTACAGCACAGTGTAGCCAGAATGCCAATGGGAAGAAGGTCTTAAGGTCAAAACATAACCAGTTTACTCTCTGATCGACTGACTCTCCTCAGCTACGCCTCAACACACTCTCACTCTTCAGCAAACGAGACATGGAAGGCGACTGAAGCAGCCAGCATTCAAAGGGAAGCTATTATGCTGATACGATATCTGGATTTTCATATTAAACATGGCTGAAGTTTCAAATTAATGAGGTCAGCATATGTAAAAGTAATATCTGTGATACTACTACTACTTACCTTCTGCCCTATTTCAGCCAGTTTTTCCTGCTCTTAGCTCTGAATGATGTCAGAGAGAGTGGACAGACCACCTGCTGTTCAAATCTGTTTATAAGCGGCAGAAGATAGCAATGTTTTCTGATATTTACTAAGATGTATTTGACTGTTCAACACCTCCAAACATCTCTTACAGGACTGTGACCTCATCTTTTTTTAAAGGACGCTTTATGAGACTGTGGTTGTCTTTGGTTTTGTCTGACATGTGGTAGTTAGCAGTGTGTACTTCCTCCCTCTTTTAATGGTTGCTGGTAATCAGCTTGTAGATGGGTAATGCAACCTTACATAAGGGGAAACTATTTATTCTCTATCAGTGCAAATATGTATAAAAAAAGCAAAATAGGTCCCCTTTAAACTCATATGAACATGTTGCTGTAAACCAAAGCAGATGCTTTTTGGGGTTTCCTTAAATATCAAACAGTGCTGTTTTGCTCCTGCATACATCATTGCCTTCGCATTCAAAATCTCACTGACTCATTAACGCTGACTTTTATAATCATTGACTGAAAGCTTTGGATTTCCTTTGTTGCCTGGCAACAGGCTCCTGAATACCCTGCTCACATGGAAAGTTATGGATTGCATACATGGCAGCAAAATTAAAGATGGATGTGATAATGGAATCCTTAAAGCGCTTTGATTTCTATAAGTGACAGCTGCAAACCAAGCGAGTTAATAGGACACAGAGTAGGGTGGCACTGAAGGGAGTTTCTTTTTTTCTTTTTTTTAAAAAATCACCCCTCTCTTGTGCTTCCTTGTCCCTGCGGGGGCCTCTCCTTATTTGTGTGTGATTTGTGTTAGTGGGAGCGGGTTGAGCAGGGCTCTGTATTTACCTCGTCAGCTTGGCTCCTCTCTCCCGGCTACAGGCACAGGCTGCCCATGGAGGTGGAGCAGGGAGAGGGGTGCTGGGGGTTTTCGGGGAGCCAAGGAAGAGATCGTGACGAGTGAGAACGAGCGGGGGTTTGATGTAAAGGGAGGAGCCATTCGTTTCGGACGGGGGCCCATGCGGAGCAATAGACGGGGAGGCCGGTTTGGGCAGATGCAGGGAGTTAGGTTTGGGGTTGGAGTTGACGTCAAGCTGCTGAGGGGACGGGCACAGGGAGTGAGGGAGCGGGGGCGGGCTGTACCCAGTGCGGCGGGGTGGAGGGGACGGGCCAGGGGGCACAGATTCGGGGCTGGGGGCAACGGGACGCATACCCGGAGGTGTTCGGGTGCGGAAATGGTGGTGAGGGAGCGAGTAGGAAGAGCAAGAGGAGGAGGAAGAGGAGGAAGAAGAGGAAGAGGGGTAAGGGGGAGGCGGCCTCTCCTCCTCTGGGGAGGGGTAGGCGTAACAGGAGTCCGACCAATTGGAGGATGCATCGTCTGAACTGCAATGATAGAAATATCAGTGATTCAAGCGGATGAATTCATTAGTTCTAGGACGAGGGATGTGTGGATTTGAAACTTTACGTTTGGTCCATAACGAGGGAAAAATCAGGGGAAAAATCAGGTGAGGAGTAATCGTTGTTGGGACAGTGAAGTGAAGGCTCCAGGAGGGGAAGAGCACAAAGAAAACAAAATAATAAAACAGAAAATCAGCCACCTCATCCATTGCAGGCTCCTGCGACAATGGACCGTTATGCTGCTAATGATGCTCGGACTGATGGCAAAAGAAAAATAGAGATGTGATCCATGCACATGCAGCAATAAATAGTTTTCTACTGAACTGTGGATGAACCTTTCAACACATTTTGGTTAAACCCAGCCCTAAGTAGAAGTGAAATCTTCACATGATATGCAGTATCACCACTCAGGCAGAAAATTAACTCCACGCGTGACTCAGGAAATTCAGGGGGTGAGGAGATGTTGAAATGAAAAGAAGTTCTAAATGACATGCCTCATCAGGGTGGGTTCACACAGAGGTGAGGATGAACGACAGACAAGAAAACAAGGGGTGGAGGTGGGGTGGGTGGGGGTTGGAAGGGGCAGACAGCGCAGTTCGGGTGTCATTTGCAGGGCGCGGCAGCAGACGCGGTGACGAGCGAGCAGCGGCAGCAGGTGTGTGTGCGGGCGTGGAGCAGGAGTAAAGGAGGGGTGGGGAGGTGAAACAGGAGGACGGGTGGGGCCACAACTGCCTTACCTGGCTCGGTCGCTGCTAGTGGGAGGAGGGGTGGGGGAGGGGGAGGCTGAGAATTCCCCAGGCTGCTCGGGGATGAGCGCGTCAATGGGTGGGGTGGGGGGGTGCACACTCGGTGGCGTGGACAAGGATTTACGCGTAGACGACGATCCCCTGCGCGACACCCAAGAAGTGTCCATCACCCTGACACCCATGCTGCAGTGGGACAGAGATGCACAGCCAATCAAGTCAAAGGGCGTGTTTGTCTGTGTGTAGTTCAGGGGTCAGGTTTCCACACCCAAAACACATCATCCGGGGGGTAAAAGGGATCGGCTTTCCTGTCTCTCATTTATATCAGTGCATTTAAAAAAAGGCCGACCCCAGACGAGCAGGTAGGGTCGCTCAGCTTCACTCACACGATTCCCAGCATGCAACAACACACATTCTCCTGCAACATGATGGAAAATAACTAATATATATTTTAAATAACTCAACAAACAAAAATTAGTTTGGATGAAACAGGATGTGCGTTTCCGTCCTTTTCATTTTAAGTGCAAATCAGCAGAATTAATTGATGGCTGCATGCAAGTGGAAACGTCCAGGACTAAGGAAATGAGGCCAGAGCAGGACTTCGCGAAGCAGTGTGTGACATCACAGTTGCTACATCCATCTTTTCCACTGTCTCCTGATGAGAACGGTATGTTGTTTCAGGGCTTCAACTTATATATAATTCAGACGGCTGGTGCTAATCCAGTGAATTTTGCAGGGTTTTTAATGCATTTATCCCACTGTGGGCTTGATTCTGCTAACTGAAGAAAACAGTCATTGTCAAACTAATTAATTACACATGTACTTTCCTGTGTCATTAAAACAGAATTGATCGATCTCATATAGGTCTCTTGGCTGTCTAGAGTTTGAGGAAGATCGATGCCACACTTAAGGTTTGTCAATTCTTCTTAGGGTTTGAGGTAGTTTAACTTAATATGGCACAAAGTCTGTTGAAACAGCAGGCCCAAGGTAACTAAATCCACCCACCACTCCCTTCTTAGCTGCTCTTCTTCTGTATAAAACCAAATGTGGTTTTATGTATTTTATATCTAAGGTGACCCTTGCCTGGAAACAAATGCCTATAGAAAAAAAAAGAAAAAAATGTAATTGAATTCAAAAAATGAAAGAAATCTACACAAGCCAAGCCAAGCCAATACAAACAAAATAAATAAATAAAAATAAAAAGATGGATATGAAAAGATATGAAAGTGAAGCCAATGCATCAGACCTGCATTCTTTCAAATGGCCAGCAGGAGGCAACTCTTCTGGATCCAAACAGAAGTCAGATTCTATAAAAGTAAAACCTTTCCTCGCAAGTTTATGCTTTGAATCACTTTGTTTCTTAGCAAATACAGCATTATGTTGTAAATGTTGGCCCTATTTAAAGTAAACTAGAGGAAAACCTTGGTACATTACCTACTGTACTACGTGTGATGTCAAGGTGGCTACTTTAAAGTCAATAACTGTCTCAAGTTGGATACTTTGTCTATACACTTACCATAAGCACACAAGTATACTACTACTAGTGTAGTAGTAGTGTTGTCTTAAATCAAACACAAAAGTAAACTTTTCAGGGCGATGCTGCAGGTCATAAATCACTAAACCTCCTGAGTTTTCCTTTGTTTAAAAGAAGTATCCTCTAATGAGTCTAAAATGCGTTTTGGACAAATGAATATTAGAAAGAAAAATTCCATCACATGTAGACAGCTGACTCCGGCTGATGGAGCAGAGCTGTGCTGGAGGGCTGATCTAATTCAAAAAGCTTTTTATTTAATTACTGAAAGGCTGCACACTGTATAGATGGTTGACCACAAGCAGCAGACATCCCCCTACACAATCTGCACTTAGACAATAACACAGATAATGCAAGGTCAGTAAAAAGTATAGTGTTTTACCCCAGCTAAACTAACTGGCTTCCATTTCAAACAGATTACCACAAAAACCCCTCAATTAGTACGATAAGACAAAAACAGTAACTGTAACTATGCAGTCAGGTGAGATAAGCAACAAGAGACTATTGTATCCACAGGCTGAACGAGTCAGAAACTGCAAAGATGCCTCTTACTTATGTAAACAGAGAGAAACAGGCCTGTTTATTCACGTCCCCCCACTCTGCTGAGACACTGAACTACAGGAGTCCAAATATATCATTTCACACACACCCCTATGAAGCAATACACACTCAGACACATGACAAATGAGAGACAGCTCCTTTCAACGTGCAGCTGAGACGAACAGATGATGAACAGAGTGACATGAGGATGAGTGGAGGAAAAGGAGCTATACCGTACCTTTGTATCTTCCTAATGCTGCAGTGTTAAAACAGAGACAAGCACAGTGAGGACACGAGCAGAGACCACGAAAGACTCGTACGCTTGGACTCGATAATAGCATTGTTATCAAAGAAGTGAAACAGGATAACGCTTTAAGAGAGGAGAACAGTGAAATATTGAGGCCATGTCGAAAACTAAGGAGGAATTTAGCTATAATCAGGTCAATGTTTCCCTGCTGGATACAGTAAAATCCCCCAAAACATGCGAGAGGTTTCCTGCAGCTGCAGTGAGTCTTTAGTAAGTGTGGTTTCTCTGCAGTGGTAGAAACACAAAGTAAAAATGACTGGCACTTTGTCTTGACATTCCTTTTTGTTGGTCTCTGATTGAGCAATAACAAGCATTTCTACTGATATTACCAAGCGTGTACACACAGCCTGGGAAGAAACAGGTTTTATGAAGGATCTTTCAGTGAGTTTTGCACAGACTTTCACTCCCAGTCACAACCAGCAGTGATTTAGTGTAGTTCACGATAAAGGACGTGTTTCAACAGGCAGCATTTCTGAACTCTCAACATCTGTTTTCTATAGAAATCCAGCCTATAGTCAGACCCTTTGGCAAGTCTTTGAATATCAATTCTTTCATCAAAATCAAGAAGTGAACAAGATTTATATTACCAACATTAAATATAAGGGTGGCAGAGAAAACCTTACCAAAGATGGTTTTGTAACCCATAGCAATGATTTGCTATAGGTTACAGAGATTCTAATGAGGCATCAGTCTTTCTTATCGGTTTACACGAAATACAGATGTTATTTTGAGATTTTTGTAACAGTTTTCCTAAAAATGAACAACTTTCCCAAAAGATCCCAACAAGTCATCAAACATCAGTAGGGGTTAAAGTGGGATTTGGCAGGTGGAGGAGTCCTAAGATCTGCTGTAATAGGGCAGCAGGAGACTTAAAAAGGCATAAAATCTCTATGGATTTAACCAGCTTCGTCATACATTATATATAAGCAGATGTTAGAAGAGCCATCATGGCTGCTCTCCAACCCCTGGCCAGTATGAAGCCAGTATAAAGGTGGAATGTGGAAATGTTGCTAAAGAGCATCACCAGCTTAAAGGACTTCAAGTAGTTCTTCTGGGAGCAAATCCTGCAACTTGGCAGATAGCATGAAGTACCTCTATTTAGACCTCAGGAGAGTGAATGAGTCCTAAAACCTGGAATGAGTTAGCATTTTGCACTTCAAGTTCCCTGAACTCGCAGGCAGTGGGTTCTAAAAATGTTCATTTTTTTTTAATGCTTTAATACATTCTGTAGTAGTTTTTGTAGCTCTGAACATGTTTTTGTTCTATTGCAAAAGATTACGTAGTAAATACCTGACTCATGAAATTTGAAGCTTTTACTTCAGGAGATAAACGGCTAAACAAGCAAAATTAACATTCAGGATAATTGCGGTGCACATAGAAGCTTAGTGGTGGTGATTTAGCATTAGTGTTGCACTTCTTGTGATTGATTCAGTGATTGAGTGCTATCAATCAGGTTGTGTTGTGTAACAAAACATAAGTATCATAAGTCTAACTAGTCTAATGGAAGCCCCACCCACCTGCTGTTCAGACCTTCTGTTTGTGTGGCTCAGCCAATCAGAAGAAAATGGGTGGAGCTCAAACTGTGAGTTTCAGACAGAGGATGAAGAGAAGGGCTGTAGCAAGGCTGAGGTAAGACATACTAGGATTGTTTTGAACTGTGAATCATGCAAAGCTACTCCAGGAGAATCCAAAAATAAGATTACAGGGCTGGAAATGGCCGTAATAAGTGCCCTTTAAACTTACACTTTTAACATTAAGTGAATATAATGATTGTTGCTTTTTAATCCAAGCTGGGATCTAATCTGTGCTATCAGTGTCAAAGAAGAAGAAGAATGTTGGGCTATTTGTCTAATCATCACCTGCTCTCCCAGAGTTGCAGAGAAGTGCCGCAAGTTTAGTATCTAAATATTAATTAACTTATTAGACTGACATAAATTAAGTAAGAAATTAAAGAGGACTCATGTAAAAGCAGACTTTCTTTTGGTGGAGCAACAGCCTTTGGTTCTAAGGACTGTTTCTACTGAAAGTTGAGCTCTATTGATCCGACCCACACAGTCCAGGTTTAATTAGTCGGGCTACTTGTGGCCCCTGGGCTGCAGAGCTCAGGCTCCCCCCAGGCCCTGATAAGACCATGGGTGTATTAAAGCATTAGAGAAAGACACTCAGATTCAGACAGTGAAAGAGAAAGAAAGCGACTGACTGGTTTTCAGCTAATCCCTCTTCACAGTTTGAGGATTGTCGGATTGCTCATTTCACAGACTAAATGTCAGCTCACCCTCAGTCTTTTTCTTTCTCACTTCCAGATGTCTCAGTGAGCTGCAGAGAAAAGTTATGAGGGCAGGTCCTGTAGATAAAGAGTGAAACTGTATCGTTTTCTGTCCACCTCAGAGTGAAACTGAGCTTCTCACTGAGGTCACTTCTCACGGCAAACTTGTGTAATCATTGGGGAATTTTCCTTCTCTTACTTCACACGTCCAACCCTGTCAGGAAGCAGTCGTGTGGAAAGTTTATGAGCCTCAATGTGGCCTTGTGTAGAAAAAATGTCTCTAGCTGTCAGTCAGCTGGATGACAGTGTACGCAGAGAAGACTGCTAATTAATTCAGAGACAGGTTTAAACAGGTGGAATCAGTGGAAGTTTTAGACGAGAAAGTTTTATTTAGGGAGTCAGTCTGTGCACATATAAACCGTTTATATTTGCATATTAAATTCATGCTGCAACAGACACCCACCAGCCACTTTATCAGGCACACCTGTTTAACTGCTCATTAATGCAAATTATCTCATCAGCCAATCATATGGCAGTAACTCAATCTATGCAGACATGGTCAAGATAATCTGCTGAAGTTCAAACCAAGTATCAAGAAGAAAGAACAAAATTGTGACTGGCTGACAGAGAAGCTGGTCAGAGTATTTCAGAAACTGATGATCTTCTGGGATTTTTCCACACAACCATCTCTGGGATTTACAGAAAAAGACCAAAGACAAAAAATATCCAGTGAGCGGCAGTTCTCTGGGCAAAAATGCCTCGTTGATGCAAGAGGTCAGAGGAAATCGGCTAAGTTAGCCTGAGCTTATAGAGAGGCAACCATGAGAGACACAGAAGAACATCTCTGAACTCACAAAAGGTCAAAGCAGACTGACTCTAGCAGCAGACCACACCAAGAACAGGAAACTGAGGCTACAATTTACATCAGCTCATCAAAATTGGCCAATAGAAGAGCAGAAAGATGTGGTCTGGTCTGAAAAGTCTTGATTTCTGTTGCAACTTTGCAGTAAACAGCACAAAAGTACGGCTCCATCCTGCAGGTCAGGCTGCTGGTGGTGTAATAGCGTGGGGATATTTTATTGGCACACTTTAATTCCCTTAGGACCAATGGAGTGTCATTTAAACGCCACATCATACCTGAGTATTGTTAATGATCATGTCCATCCCTTAATAATAGATGTCAGGTCACAAAGCTCAAATAATCTCAAACTGGTTTCTTGAACATGACAGTGAGTTGATTGTACTTAAACGGCCTCCACAGTCACCAGATCTCAATCCAGTAGAGGACCTTTGGTGTGCGGTGGAACGGGAGATTCACATATTGGATCAGCAGGAACTGTGTGACTCTATCACGTCAGTATGGACCAAAATCTGAGGAATGGTTCCAGCACTTGGCTAAATCTATGCCTTTAAAAATGAAGACAGTGTTGCAAGAAAAAACAGGGTCCAACCGAGTAGTAGCAAGGTGTACTTAATAATGTGGCTGGTGAGTGTATATTCTGTACTAACCTACACTTTCATAACTTGCCCAAGCCAATCTTTCCAGATCTGCAGTGACTAAAAGTACACTGTAACCCTTCTCTCGCTTGTTTCTAAGATTATGTGCATTCTTACTTTAAAAACAGTATTGGGATTAGGCCTAATGTACTGATACTTGATTTTAAGGCCGATATCAATATTTGGCGATTTAAAAATCTAATATATTTGTTATGTGCAGTTATCTATGAATCTATGACAGTACAGCTTAAAAGTAATCTTGTTCTGTGAATTATTTGTTTACGTTCTGCTTGGATCTGCTGATTGTTGTGTTTCAAACATATATGCTGCCAGTGGGAAGTTGCAGAGAGCTTTCTGAAACAAATCATACAAGATCAACTCTCATAATTTTCAGCCGTCATAAATGCCAGTACCAATATCCGCAAATAGCTAATATCTGCCAACATATCGGTCGGGCTCTGAAATGCATCGCTAAGAGACACAGAAGAGTCATACCCGTCCTTCTTATAAAACTCCAGCATCATGTTGTCTGTGGCGACGCTGAGCGGCCGCCGGCTCTGGTCGTTCTGCTTGCGATCCATCTGATCCATATCTGGAGACGGCATCGAGCTGTAGTTGGCGTTGTGGTTGGTGTGGACGGGGCTGCCGTAGTTTCCTGTGACATTGAACTCGATCTCTAACGAAGACAGAAGAAAACAGGAACAACTCAGTATTTTATTTTCTAAAATGCCATTTTAAGACTTCAAGAACAAACAAAGCAGGGCTGTTTCCTCTTCTTTTTCCCTCCTCACCTCCTGGGAAGAACCAGTCGGCGTGCTGGATGATGGGCTCGATGATGCCGACGATCTGTAGGGAAACTGTCGTCATCATCTCCGTGATGTTCCTGGAGCAAACGGAGAAGACACACTTTTTTTTAATTGGGGGGGGAGAAGTGTCTGTCTGTCTGTAAGAATTTCACACAGAGGGTGATTAGCACATTTTCATGATATTACCAAAGCATTAAAATGAGAAAATTAAAATCATTTCAGAACTGTGGGCTATTAAAGTACTAATTAAAAGTTAAGGGGGATGACGAGTTTGTAAGATTTACACAGAGATATAAAAGGAGACGTCCTTCACCCTATTCAAAACTGCCAAGTCATCATCTTTCTCCTAAATATATACGGTATAATAACAGCAGTCTCCTATGGATGAAGTTGTGTGTCTGCAGGCCTTTTTGTTAGTAGCAGCCCATGTTTTTTGATTAAGGAAAAAGAGGAAGAGAAACTGAGCTGCAATGAGAGAATCCCTTTGAGTCCCTCCATTCGTTGTCTGCCACCTTTAATCATCAAGTTACTGCATGAAAAAGTGATTTTAAGGGCCGAGCAGGAGGCAGTGCATGATAAAACCTGCAGGAATTACAATAAAACTAAAATGACTTCACTCGCTTGCCTCTAATTAAATCTGGCCCTTGCTTTTGTTTGTTTAACTTCATAATTAAATTGTAACTGCAAGTCATGGTATAGAAGGTATCTCAGCACATGCATAATTCATGATGTGAAAATATTAGGATGAGATAGCAGGATGAAATAAGTGCACAATAATAATCAAATCAAACACACGGCACAACTCTTCCTCTCGTCATCAGCTGATTTGTTTCCATGGTTCACTGGTACCAAGATCCAGCATTTTGTGTTCAGTTATGATCACACAGAAGAGGATAAGGTAACAAGCCACATGTATATGCATCTGCTATAACTTACCCATCATTCTGAGTCCACAGCAGGTTGGGTCCGAGGACAATAGCAATGTTTCCAGGCGTCATCTTGTTCACATCCTGGTAGTCAGTCAGTTTGGACAGGAATTTGATTAAATACCTGTTAATTAAGGTGCAGAAAACAGACTATTCAATAAAAACAGAATTTAAATGTACATTCAACCTCTCTATCTAAACATTTAGACCATGAAACTGTTACTACTATAAATATTCTGATAGCTGTCATAGGGCGAGAGGCGAGGTAAACCCTGGACAGGTTGCCAGTCTGTTGCAGGGCTAACACACAGAGACAGACAACCATTCACGCTGGCATTCATACATATGGGCAATTTGGATTAACCAATTAACCTATCCCCACAAGCTGCATGTCTTTGGAGGGTGGGAGGAAGCCAGAGTACCCGGAGGCAACCCACGCAAACACGGGGAGAACAAACTCCACACAGAAAGACCCCAGCCTGATGGCGGAATTGAACTCAGGACCTTCTTGCTGTGCGGCAACAGTGCTAACCACCATGCCGCACGCATTTGGAAAAAATGTAAAACAAAAATTAAACATTACCAAAGCAAAATTATTATTTAATCGTTTAATTTAAAATAAAAACACTATTTATAAATCAACATTTTAAAATGAATTATTAATCCATTAATAAATACTTCAAAAATGAATTTCACAAAAAAGTATTAAACTCTCAATAAAAACCTCATTTCAAATTCCAAATTTAAAAACTGATTTTCACAATCTTTTTCCAAAATCTCAAGCAATCCAAATTAGCCACGAGGTGTGACTTAAGGAGCTCACTGATTGGCTGGCTGTCTCGATTTTTCTACACTGCTGTTTTGTGCTCATAGCCTTGCAGTGCTAAGAAGTGTGTGTGCTTGTATAAAGGCCATTCAGCCTCAGTATTTACACTCTACCCAACACGGATATATGATGAACGAAGGGTGTACGCCTGTGGACTCACCCTGACCACCTGTTTCAGGTAACGTGCTAACACGGCTAACGCTAGCGTCACCGCATGTTAGTGAAGAGTTAGGGGCGTGGCTGTTTTGACTGATTGGTGCTACTTGGTTGTAGTGATGGGATTTCCGACTCTTTTTAGAGAACCGATTCTTTCGGCTCGACTCACTAAAAAGAGCCGGCTCTTCAGGTTGTTTTGCTGCTTTAATTAATTTATATATGTTTATATATAAATATATATGGTGGCCCCTAGAGACAAAGCACGTACAAACTCCAAAACACATTTCTAGCGTTAACTGAACTTCCAAAACAGAGCTACCTAGAGCACTTAAATTACACAATTGAAAGCATACGTGTATTGTTTGTGTATTTATGCACAAGCATTCATATATACTCAAATAATTAAAAAAAAAATATGTTCATTTACCTGTTACTACCAAACACCAAATCCGGTAGTTGGTACTTCCTGGCTTGTGTAGCCACTAGGTAACAAAAGCTCAACACTGCCCCTAGCATCCTGGAGCACTTCTGTTGTGTTTGTACATGTTTTGGAGTTTGTACGTGCTTTGTCTGTAGGGGCCACCGTAAATATTTATTCACTCCACATAAAATGTAAAATGTAATAAATAAATCATATAATACAAAAACCAATTATTTACATTTCAACTTTTAACTATTTAAATTTTCAGCTTTTTCCTTTTAAACAAATTTAAACACTAAACACTGCAAACCACAACACAATTAAATATAAATATGAAAAAATATAAAAACAAAAAGAAGATGCACATTCTCTTTCATATGGGCCTGCATCAATAAACTTTCTGAATCCTTTATCATCTGTAACTGAAAATAGTTGTGGATGATTACTATACCTTTTTAATATGACGTTGTTGTCCCTGGCTCCCTCCCGCTCTGTTCCTGTGCTACTGAGTGTAACTATTGCCCCTCCCCCCTCTTCCCAGCGCAAAGCACAAGGCTCGCGTGCGGAGTGAAGCGGAAAAAAAGTGCGAGAGAGAGGGCGAGAGAAAGAAAGGAAAAAAACAAAACACGACTCCCAATAAGGAGCCGGCTCGCGTCGTTCACTTCAAAGAGTGGGCTTTAAGAGCCGTTTCATTTGCGACTGACACATCACTACCTGGTTGTGATACAGGCAGCTGGAGCCAACTGAGATGTGCTAACCCCACCTCTCCTTCAACTTTGTAAGCTGGACCTCGTTTTGATGCCTTTTGGAGCACCTTAAAGAGTTTCTGTGCGGGTTTCAGTTTTGGTGTATTAGCATTATATTAGCCTATATACAGAGGTGGGACCAAGTCATTGTTTTGCAAGTCTCAAGTAAGTCTCAAGTCTTTATCCTCAAGTCTCAAGTCAAGTCTCAAGTAATGTCAGGCAAGTCAGAGTCGAGTCTCAAGTCACTGGTGTAAAAGTCCGAGTCAAGTCACAAGTCTGAAACTTTGAATTTCAAGTCCTTTCGAGTCATTCAAAAAAACGAAAAAAAGCATGTTGCAGTTATATGCTAAATGTAAATATTAGACCATGTAATTTTTAAATCTGTGTTTTTCTCAACACATGACAAAATAGTGAACTTAGAAAATATACACAAATTGTGAAATTGCACCTCTTTAAAATGCAGCTCAATTAAACCTAGCTCCAAGAATAATTTTCACCGACGGTTCTGAGATAAGCTGCATGTTATTCTTGGATGCGGTTGTAGGACCGGCTTTAAAATCGCATGACAAAAATATCATACACATTAAAAAAAACTGTATCACCAACGTAGCCTGGACAACATTTGCTAGTTAGATGAAGTCAGCTATCTCATCCTAGCATATTTATATGCATATTTATAAGCATACGGTTCTTGGAGTGAGTGCATACACTCGTGAAGTTTAGTAACTTCAGGTCACTGCAACAAGCCCAGGTACAGTTTACCGACGGATGGGTACAGGACCTTGAAATGCACCGTGTAGAACGAAAGACCATCGTACGTATCATAAGTTTACCAGTCTCACAAATTGTTGTCATAAATACACATTCCTTAACCGTTTATTAATAGGACCTTTGAGCTCAACGGTAATTAATTAGCAGTGGAAATAATTTCTGGTAGCATCACAGAAATGTAGCAGTGACAATAATATTGTATGCTGTAATCGTACTGGGCAATTAGTGATACAAAAAAACCTGTTTTATCCTGTGAATAAAAGTATATGTTTTTGTCAGTGTACCATAATAACAGAAGCGAAACGCAATATCATGTCAGGACAATTCACTATTTATGCACAATAAACAAAGGAGCATAGCGCGACAATTTCTGTTCAGCGCCAGACTTGCTTGTAACCTATATCACCAATTATTTTATGAAAAATGACGTATTAACTACTAAAAAACACTGACCTGTGTGTAAATGCTTGGAGCAGACTAACCTGTGAGCTGGAGTGTTCTGGGACGTTATATTTGGTCTTTGAATGGCTGCAATCCAGGCCATCCGTCGCATCTTTGTTACTTCGGAAACATGGCTCGAACAATTTCTCTTCAACGACGTAATCCGATAACAACCGATCTCTTTACCCATCAGCTTCCCGTGGCTGTCATGCGACCGGCTATTGCAGTTAATAATACAACAGCTTCTTGACATTTTTGTGTTTCTTTTTATCGCTGTATAACTGATTTCAATTGAAAGTCTGTGTGCGCTAGTACCTCTTGCCACGAGTTCCCAGAATCCTTTGCGGTTCTACCCGTGAATGACGTCACATTTTCAATCTCTATATAATATGCATGTTAAATTTTATATTTGGGGTAAAATATCAAGTCTTTTCAAGTAAACCGGTTCAAGTCCAATTCAAGTCCCAAGTCATTGGTGTAAAAGTCCAAGTCAAGTCACAAGTCTTAGAACATTTTTTCAAGTCAAGTCTAAAGTCATAAAATTAATGACTCGAGTCTGACTCGAGTCCAAGTCATGTGACTCGAGTCCACACCTCTGCCTATATACATGTTTCTGCGCATTTATGGATACAGCTGTATCCTGCATGCTGGCATTTGCTGATAAGTTAGCAGTCCACGCTCTCTTCCAAAATATGATCACTTCTGGCTCAAAAAAACATAATGATGGCTACATCCATCCCAATATGTTCCGGTCAGTTTCAAACAGCAGATACTGTAGTGTTACAGCTGCAGTCTGAATGATAACTGCGTGCCTGCTGAATGCACGAACCACACTGAGTCAAAGCTTATTATTGCAGCCAACCATTTCTGTGTCTGATGTTTTCAGAAATGGATGGGCTGGTGGATGTCTGTAGCTGAGCTGAATGACTCATCCAGAGCTGAACATCAGGCCGCTCATCATGGCAAACAGCAATCATCTGGACAGGCCTGACAGGTCTCTTCAGAGGAGCACCGTCTAAAAATACGACGCATTTGTGCGATTCGATGATGATGCTGACAAGTGCCGCTGCACCTCGCTCTCCTCATTTCTGTACCATCACTTCCTCTCTTCCCTTTCTCTGTCAGGCCTTTCCACTTTCTTCTTTTGATCAGGAGACAAGCCTTTCAGCATTCTGCATTTAATCCAGCAGCCAACACCTGGGATGCAACGCCTCTTTCTCCACACTGTTTCATAAAGGTCAGAGTTTCTCTTTTCTGGCAGGTGGTGATAAGTAGCGCACAATGAATCAGCCTCCTGAAAGCTGGAAATCATTTTTCAGCTTTCAGGAAGCAAACAGATACCAAGAAGTGACTGAAAATGAAAGAAGAAAAATCCTCGAGAATCAATAGAGGTAAAGCGATATAGCTACGAGTTATTATCTCCCGACTCCACAGCTACCCTCTGATCTACAGAATGGTATTATCTGTATTGTTTTTGGTTCACGCTCAAGTTTCTGAGGAACATTATTCCAGTGTCAAAATAAATAAATATTGTTGCCAATAGTGAAGTGATAGAAGGAGGCCTAATCACAGATTGTTGGTTTAATAGTCTGGCTGCCACCATCTCGGCTTTCATTAATCTGAACCTGACCTTATTTGAACCAGTACTAAAGCTGGCTAGTTCAGGTAGACAGTGATATTAAAATAGATGCTAATCACGGCTAAAAAACAGGTGTGAAACAAAAACCTTTGCATCTCCTCTGAACAGTTGACTCCTGTCAGTGTTATTTAGAAGAGAAATAAGCATATTTCACAGCCTGCTACAAAAATATATTTGGTTTTGCCTCTTTTGCCACAAGCGTACTGAGGATGTATGTCATATATCTCTAGTTTAGAAACTACAGTGCCCCCACTTCACACACTTGCGCTACGTTCCCATATCACGTTTTTTCGATTTCTCTGTAATCTAACAATAAAGTTTGTTAAATCTTATCACTGTGTCCACTTGAGTCTGCTTGTGGGTTCACTCCCATTTACTGGCCACTGTGACAGTAAACTAGGTCTGGTCAAAGAAGAGTATAGTCTAGTGTACTCTAGTTTAGTCTAAACAAAATGCTCCCAACCTGTTATCCTCAATAGTGCATAACTTAAAGCCTTAAAACAGCAGTAAAAGAAATGTGTTACTGGCGGCAAAGACACTTATTTCTGCTCTAAATTTGGGCATTTTGAGGGGATTGATCTTAGACTGTACCAAAAAGATGGGCTTAGCCTCTGTGATACATTGTGGAAGTGTTTGGTCACCATGATGGTGATTTGGAGCCAGATGTGACCATATTTAGACAATAAGTTGCACTTCTAAATTATCAATAACTAGCTTTTTTATGCAAACTGCAATCATACTCATAAAATCTACATAAATATGTGCAACACATAAACACACATACCTGCTAATTAGCCTAAATCACATAAATATACTGGAATTTCAGTAACTATATGTGAGTCACAAATGTCTTGGATGGTCTATTCTTCACAACAAGTCAAACAGTTTGTTGGATAATAAAAAAAGGCATAAACCAACTGTAAAAGTCCAGTTCATTGACTAATTAGCAGCCATGAGGCTCAGGAGAAAACAACTGGCAACAACTCCTCACCAATTAAAACCACTGAGCTGCCCTCATACAGTTTTTATAACTGAGGGAAACTGTGCCCTGAGACCACAGCTGATTGTAAACATATTCCTGCTTTAAAGTTGGGCATTTTAACATGAGAGTCTGTGGGGACTGACTGCCTTTTGGCATTTGCCTCAAGTGGCCATTAGAGGAACTGCAGTTGTTGGCGCTGGCTTATTTTGCAAAGCAATTTTGATTTAGGTTTTTCTAAAGATTTCTCTTTGAACTTATTTTACACACTACAGATGCAACAGAAACACTCAGGGACAGTCAGCAAAGATACAGGTGACAGACTGGGGACTCAATGATATGAACATTTTGGCCCAGCTATTTCTGACCATCAGGTCACTTTGTCATGTCTTTGGTGGTTTCCTTCAGTTAAATGAACTCCTCTTTATAGGCAGAGCCAGCCAGTCTTATATGCAGTTATATAAGGAGGTAAGGCGGAAAATAGACCTGATTCCTTCGATATGCAGTTAAAAAAACCAAAATGAGACTGACTGGGATGTTTCAGCTGGTTAACCAGATTATTTGGCCAATATATGAAAAAAGAGAGAACCAGGAGGGGAGTGAAACATGGAAACGCTGACTCACTTAAAGTTGGTGTTGTTGGCTGAAGGGAGTTTCTCACAGGCATTGAACAGAGCCTGCAGGCGCTTGTCTTGATCTTGAATGCTGCAGGACAACATGAAAGATTGGTTGTAAAACAACAGTAGGTCGAAGAAATGTCTTTAACACGAAGATGGCAACATTGGTCTGAGATGATACACACTTTGAGGCTTGGATCCAGTCATTGTAGAGTTCAAAGGTCATTAATGGTTCAGGGAGCTCGCGCAGGTAGGACTTCAAAGCACCTGGAGAGAGCACAGCAAGAACCATGGTAAATACATGTCTGCACCCGTGTATTTCAGCACATAGAAGCAACCGTAGAAGGAAAGAAAGAAAGGGAGAAAGATGGAAACAAAACAAGAAAATAGAGAAGCAAAGAGAAAAAGCGGGAAAGAAAGTAAAAGGAAGCAAGTAAGGAAAGAAGATCGCAAACAGGCAAGGAAGGAAATGAAGAAAGTAAAGACGTTTATCAAGAAATAAACAAACCACCAAACAAAGAAATAGAAACAAAGATGATAAACGTTTTGAAGCAACCATCTGCTCCATGATTAGTGCTTCAGCGTGGACTCTGTCTGATCCAGCCGAGCCCAGATCTGATCGTATGTACTGCATGAGAGTGAGTGTAATTTCCTGCAGCTCACTGCACAATGGCATTAGATTTCAGATTAAATCACTTTATATAGGAGCACATCTTATGTGATGTGTATATATTCAAATTCCAGGCTGAAAGGCCTTCCTTGCCAGCAGTCTCCATTACTCTGGTCCCCATGACAAAAAGCCAGAGGGATTTTCCATAATTACAAACACAAGTATGTTTATTCAGAACAGAAAATCAAAATCAAATGATTGTTTTCATGACTAGAAAAAGTTTATGTGCCTGTGAAAAGTCTGTCTGTGCACGGTTTGTCCCATCAAGTGCTCAGAAATGAGTCCCACTGGTCTACGCAGCTATCCTGTAAAACTACACAAATCCACATCGAGCTTCCGTCTGACCAGAACTGAGTTTTCCTTTACTGATGAGGAAGGACACAGCTGACCGGGTTTCACTGCGACGTGTCGTCTTCTCTCTTTGGCCTGCCGCTTCCATTCCCCAGAGGGATGGACGACAAACAGCTGTGTATACATATGCATATACATATAGGTGGTGCACTGATGGTGCAAAATAAATACCTGCAGTTCCACTGAACCAGGGCTTCCACCTCCTCCTCCACAGTGGGACGAATTAAATTTGCTGGTGGAGCTGACCCAGTTTAATATGGGACCATTAAAGGGGAATAGAGCGCAGAATAGGACATTTTCTCCACATGCTCCGGTGAGCTGTGAGTTAAATTGAGATTTAATGCTGCATTATTCTGCACTGGTTGAAAATGACTCTTTTTTTCTGACTTTCATACTCGGCTGAGAAATTAAAATCTTCACTGTGCATCAGAGAGGTTTTCAGTTTGTTTGTAAAAGCAAAGATTTAATAGTTTGGTCATGAAACAATTAAGACACATTTTTCCAACAGTAGTACGACAGCTAGGCGAACAAACACAGGACTTAAATGATCTGGCTTATATACAAAAAATAAAAAACTGCGTTTTTGCTACAATATTCTGTTGCAAAAAAACAACCCAAAAACACAAGGACATCCGTAAAGTACGGCGGTTTCCTCAGCAAAGAAAACCAAAGAAGCCACTGAACATAAAACAAATGTTTTTGAAAACACACTGACAAATAATTTACTACAAATGCTGCAGATGATTATAACTGAGAGCCTCGTCATTTTAGAAATAAAAGAAAGATTACTAGCGAGACACCTCTCTGTGCTGAAAGGATGCTTACCATTAAGTTTTATTTTTCGATAGAAAAACAGCCGGTGTGATAATTTTAAGAAAAATGCACTTGTTTTTAAGATAAAAATATTTTCCACAGCTTGTAAAAAGCTTTTCATTTGGAGATGTATGGTTTTCATCTGACAACAGCAATATGCTGCTGCAGTAAAAAAAAAAAGATCAGTAACAGCATCATAAAAGCTTGAAAGCTTTTCTTTCTTTTGTAGTTTGTCACAGTGCAGCTTTAAAAGCGAATACGTGACAGAAACAAAAAGACGTTTTTTGTTGCATCCTCTCCAGAAGATGAAGAATCTGTCTGACACTAATCCCAGTTATATTTGGAATTTATCACTGGGCATTTCTTGGATAGTTTATTGAAAGTGGAAGAAAAACACTTTGCTTTGTCTGCAGACACGCGAGCAGTGACCACAGAAGCAAAGTGAATCCTAATCGAGCCTCAAGTTCCTGTGTCACACCAGCAAAATAACCTTTAAGAGGAAATTTACTGCAAACAGCAGCAGGAGAAACAAAGACAGGCAGCAGAAGGGATTAAAAATGTTTCTTTGATGCGAGCAGCCTGATTATGATTATATTCATTCATTGACAACAGGAGGGTAGCTCAGCATAAGGAAAATAACAGAAATGTACAGAAACTAGACTCGAACAAGCCAACGGGGGCCAACTCATAAATCTACCCCTGTGAGGCAAATTTCAATGGATTATCAGTTGTCATGGGAACACATGATGTACAACCAGGAGGCAGGGAGGAGGTCTAGGTATGTGGCAGTGTTGTTGATAGCTCACCTGCGATGGCGTGTGGGTCTGCAGAGTATTCTTGCACGTCTAAAACCCCGCAGTCCAGAGACGCCTTCAGCTTTTTGAGTTTGGAGGCCGAGGGAGCGATTCTGAACAAACCCTGAGACACAGAAACGAAGCCAAGGTCACTTAACTCCAACAGCAGGAGAATTACACAGGCTGAATTTATGTTGTGTTACAAATGCCTGATTCTCTTAGTAGCAGAAGAGTGTAAAATGCTACATTAAAAGTCCAGCTTTCAGAATTAAAGGTGTCATTTCCCATTTCATCCATCCATCTATGCTCTACTTCTTATCTGAGTCACAGGGCAGCACTCTGAGCAGTAAAGGCTTCTTCCATTTGATACTGACACCCTCCTAAAACACCCTGGTGTGGGGTGGTTGACCCATAGTTTTGAGTTTTGGGCTTCTAAGTTCTGTTCTGTAGTCACTTCATGTTGTTTCTTAGTTGTCGTGTTTTTCTGTTTTGTTCCAGTTATCTATGTTAGTCCTCCGTTCAGTTTACTCTGCCTCCCTGCTGTTCCTCGTGTATTGTTAAGTATTCGTCTGTTCCTCTGTTTAGTTATTTCCTGTTTTATTTTGGTAGCCTTTGTCTTGTGCATTGGTATTTTGTTGTGCTTTTCCTGTCTAGTTTACCTGATTTGTTGCAGCTGGGCTCCCTGGTATTTCCCATCTCCCTAATTACCTGGTGTGTTTTTAATGTTACCCTCTCTGATGGTTGTGTCTCCTTGCCTTGTGTTCACTGAGTTTTTGCGTGGTTTGAATTTCCTGCTCTGCATGTAATTTGGCTTTCCCTGTATTGTAAAACACCAGGATTAAGGATGCATTTTGAATTCATTTCTGGATTTGTGAGTGCATTTGGGTCCAAATCCTGGCTGCTACACAACCAAACCTTGTGCTGGGGCTGCTGCGAGGTCTTCTGAAGCTTAGACATGTTTGAAAGACCTTGTCGAGAAGGTGTCCAGGAGGCATATTAGGAAGTTACCTGAATCATCTCAGCTGGTTCCTTTCAATGCTCCTGACCCTAATCTCTAAGGCAGGTTTGAAATGTATGTGTACACACAGGCTTTACCCCTAACACCTGATATGTAATTAATGGGTTACCTGTAGAATTTTTGAGTCACGTTTTCACTTTGTTTCTAGTAGTTTTAATGAAAAGTTAAACTTTTCAACCAAATCACGTCATGTCATAGTCAGGAAGTGACGTGGTTGCTTGTGCAGTTTGCCATCAAAACGAAGGAGAAATTGATCGTAGTGATATGTGATCACCTCGCTGTACAGGAACAAATATCGTAACCTGCAGCTAGCATGGCTCAGTTAGTTTGTCTTGTGAGTGAGTGATTGTCTGTATCACTTTATTCTCACTTTACTCTTTTCTTTCACCCTCACCATCCAGCAGGTCACAGCACATATTTAACCCTCCATGAGCCTGGTACTGCTGGAGGTCTCTTCCAGTTAAAAGTGGGTTCTTCCTTCCCACTTTTGCCAAGTGCTGCTCATTAGGGGATAATTTGATCCTTGGGATTCTCTCTGTAATACTCTATTTACCTTACTATAACAAACACCTTGAGGCAGCTATTGTTGTTAGTTAAATAGCCCTAATCATCTGGCATGTGTGAGTACTGCCCAAGTGAGAGCCCAGACATCCTTAGCACCCTTACAAAGCCAGCCTCTGCAGTTTCTCTTGTTTTTTTGAGTCACCCACCCACAGTTTATGGTCATAGATGAGAACAGGAATGGATATTGACCGGTAAATCCACAGTTTTGCTTTCATGCTCAGCTCGTTGTTCACAACAGCAGATGGATACAATTTCTGCTGCACCAATCCATCTGTCAGTCTCCTGCTCCACTCTCCCTCACAAGACACTGAGATCCACTTGGTGCAGCAGCACTCGGAGTGGGTGCTACATCCTTTTCCAGCTGAGAGAACCATATACCTGGACTTGGCGGCGTTAAACCTTGTTCCAGCTGCTTCATGTTGGGTTTCATAAAGCCAACAGCAACACAAATTCTGCAAAAAGTGTGAGCATTAGTTTAATGTTCCAGCTGATTATTTGTTTCAGGCTTGGCCCCCGATTAGATTTCCCTCTGGTAATTAAGACTGACTTCATCTCTGCGGTGACCTCTGCAACATTTCACACCCATAAATGTGTTTCTTGTGTGTCGTGTGAAAAGCGACCGGTTTGTTTACCTCCTCCTGCATGCCACACTCCAGCAGCATGGTCACACAGGCCTCAATGGGAAAGGCAATATCTCTCCCGCTGAGCGCTAAGTGCTCCTCTAATGGCTTCCCGTAACACGGTTTCTCCACCCAGGTCTCTGTGAAAAAACACACACACACACTTAGAGTTATTCACAATCAAATGCCCAGATCATTCTGCAGCAGCTCTGCTTTTATGATCTTATGACTGCAGCGATTCAGAGTTTATCAAATAATTTTTTTCCAGACTGCAAAGCGATGCCAAAACAAATGCAAGGTTTTCACTATATGCAATAGTTTCCAACCATACCATTACAGAGTTATACTGTGAATGCCGTAGTTAACAGAGACAACAGTTATTTGACATATTTTACTGGTAAAATGACAAACTGCGCTAACAAAAACACATTCATGGATAACATGACTCAATCACTCGGTCATCCACTCTATCAATATATAAAGATTTAATATGATGTTGCAGAAAACAACACAGAGTTTCACACACAATTACTGTAATCACATTACATTTTCCTGTTATGTAGTAATCAAGTGCATTACAGTACTAATTTAAGTTATTAAACTACACCTGATAGTCACAATTATGTTGTTGCTTGAGTTTTACAAGTTCTTTTCCCTCCATTGAGTCGTTTAAAACCAGACTTATTTTACCTTTGATTCTCTCTGATTTGCTCATTTCGTCTCCTGTGACTTTTCAGCCACGACTGTATATGTTTAGCACCTACTAACACGTAGTTGACTTATTTCTTATCTGTTCTGTGTTTTGTGGAGCAAATTTAACAACAGAAACTACTCTGCTCAAAATAAGTTAGGGAACACTTCATCATCGCATTACAACACAAAGCCAGTTACACTTCAGGGACACCAATCTGTCCACTTAGGAAGAATAAACCACTGTGGACCCATTTCCGCTGCTTTGGTGCAAATCAAAGTGACAGCAGGAAAATTTTCCCTCTTTATCCCTCCTGGCTGATTTTTGTCTAGTTTTTGCTTTTTGTTAGTTTCTTGTCTCTATGTCTAGGGCTTTTATTGTGAAAGGAAACACATGCATATCATCAAATCAGGTTTCTGCTCCAGATTGGACATTTTGGTTTCTATTAAAGCAAAACACTGTAAAGTGTATCATCAGAAATGTAACAATTAACAATTAAATGTAACAATTTAAAAAAATTTAAATTCTTCATGTTTAGTGGTATATGTGAAGTGAATGGGGCGACACTACAACTTCCATCAGGCATGAAATAACTTCAGTTAATGTTATAAAGAAATTCTCAGCAGCGTCAAACCAGAAAACACAATGTAGGTAAATGGGTGATAAAAGCACTTGAAAGGATAAAGCACCACTTTCATTTGTACAGCCCGACACATTGTGTTTACCCATTGTCGCTGTAATATGGACTACAGCAGAGGCAAATGTAAGCAGTTAGAGAGAAAGAATAACAAAATAAGACTGCAGCATGTTGGTCTGAGACTCACCCTGATGAGCTTTGATCTGAGGCAGAACACTCTGAAGCAGCTCTAATGACTTCCTGTGGTACTCTGCCTGGACTTCTATCAGCTAGACAGAGACAGACAGAAAAAGGCAATCTGTAGAGTGTGTTTCTTTTTCTTTTTTGTCTGTTTTAGAGACGTGAGTGCACTTACTGTCTGGAAGTAGCTTGCATAGTCAATTTCTTTGGCCACAAAACTGTACATGTCTGCTGATAACTGATCCTGAAAACACATTTTGAAACATAGAACGCATGAAAAACAAAAAGAGACACAAGGCATGTAACAGTCTGAAAAATGTGTTTTTGTAGTTCAAACTTTTGTCTATTTAGAGCAGGTGTATTATTATTATTATCATTTGATATACTGTCACATTAAAGAGTCCTTAGAAAGCATGGCAACTCAATTAATGTAGCTGAGAAAGAGCCATTATTAATGCCATTAGATACACTGATACAAATCAAAATATATGCTTCAAAAAGTGTTTAAAATAATTATTAATATAATCAAAGTACTCTCATATTTTTGGGAATACCTAAACCCAGAACTTCACACTAATTTATGGCTACTTGAAGCCAGCTAATAGCTAAAAGTGCTCATATCTGTATGTATAGAAGTTAGGTTAAAAAAAATCTCTCCTCTTTCTTCTATTTGCTCAAAGTTTGAAAAATTTTGTTCTATATTCTTCTGCTGAAAGTGGAAAGTTTGTCTGTTCTCACCTCATATCAGATTCAGTTACACACATTTGTGCAGCGTTAGAATACCAATCAGGTAAAGCGCCAAACTGTGCTGAGCCAAAAAAGCCCAAAAACTCTATTTTGGTTTTGTAATTTCATAAATGACAAATTTCACAAAACTTTTGCCTTTCTTGTCTACGAGAGATAACATATCATGGCTGACTAGGATGCCTATAATGACGCGAGTCATTGCTTATTGTAGTAATTACACATGATTTCCTTGTTTCCTGTATATTGTGCACATAATAGGTCAAACGGTCCGTTAAAAGGATGTATATGCACATGCAGGATGTGGAAGCTTGAACACTCTTGGAAGCAAGAATGGGCTATTTCAGGACATTTATAAATATCCTTGTAGGTTCACTTTACAAAAACATCAACAAAAAAAAGATGACAAGAATCTACTTGATACATATAACAACAGCCTAGATAGATAGATAGATAGATAGATAGATAGATAGATAGATAGATAGATAGATAGATAGATAGATAGATAGATAGATAGATAGACAGACTATGACTGGCGCTATGTTAGTTAGTTTATTGGGATAAAAAGTGATCACTGACTCGACAGATCTCCATGCGGTTGGCTGCCTCCTCCATCTCTTCCCTGAGGTGGTCGGCCTTGGCTCCTGTTGGCTGCAGGTTGCTGGACAGTCCAGAAGATTTGGTAGACTGAGTGTACCTGTGAGCAGAAGGTAGGTTTCAGTAAGAAGTGAATTTGAGTCACAAAAGTATTCAGGATTTTTTTAGGGCAGCATGTTAAACTGTTAGAAGGCATTTTTCTTTGCCTTTAGCAGATCTAGACTTTTGTTCCCGAGTGAGAAAAGCGTTGACAGCGAGACCTGACAGCTACTTTAACAAAGTGACTCACATAAACAAATCAAACTGTTGAAGGCAATGGATTAAGTCTGTGGCTGACAAAATACTAACACTTGTCTTTCTATATACCCTCATTTATTCAGCTTAAGCTGTTTTGTCTTTTAAGTATTGCTCTCAGACTCTCCTCTTCCCCCTCCATCCATCTGTCTGTCAGTGTAGATAATGTGTAGAACTGCCAGAGGAGCTCAGCACACGGCAGCATAATGGGAAAAATTGCTTTAGATTTGGGTCACTAAAGAACTGGCTGGCTGGACCGCAGTGAGGAAAACAACATTTCTGCATGTCACTGCTCAAAATGGCAGTGAATCAGCTGAAAGAAACTGTGGCAATTGCACGTTTCAAACAGGATCAGGCACTACTGACTTTATTCTGCATCAGCTAGACACCATTAAAAGTTAAATTTACCTGAAAGTTAACTGAAGTTAAGAAATAGCTTCATAAAAACCCTCAAAGTTACAAAGCCAGTGCAGCTGTGAGACATCAGACCGATCCTCTGCAGAGTAAAACGGATTATGTGGTGAGTTATTAATGCATGTGTATATATTAAAGCTGGATGCAATCGATTGGTTTAAGAGGCCACATTTGCGAAGCCTCGAACAGCTGCCACCTTAGCTTTTTGAAACCAAACATCACGCGCAAGAAACCGCGGGACAGTCCATGCTCATATCGTGGACATACCTTGCTTTACTGCCTTTCTGGACACTAATGGGGACCATAATTTAAAAACTGAAAATGATGTTGTTCTTATTAAGACAGTAGTGTCAAAATGCATCAAAAGCCCAGAAGATCATCGAAGTACATGGAGGACATTTACAACACACGCCGCCTCAGCAAAGCCACCAGTATCTGTGTGAACCCCACACGTGCATCACACATCTGAACCCCTCCTCGCGAACACCCAGAGACATACGAGCGCTTAATGAGCCCATCATGTTTGGACTATCTCACTGCAGCCGATAAAGCTCACAATCACAGCCTCATCTTCAACAATTTACACTAATGAGCTATATTGGCAGATATTTTATATTTTTTTTAAATTTTAATTAGTTTACCAAGTTTCTAAGGAGAAGTTGCTTTTGTATCTCATTGGACTGTAAATAAAGGAATTATTTAAATCCATAAACTAATCAGGAAAACAATTCCTGAGTCACAGATCAAGGGAGTCTATGGTTGCTTTCCCGTAGACTTCTATACAACAAATGTCTTTTTGTGACCAGGGGAGTCGCCCCCTGCTGACTATTAGAAAGACTGCAGGAAGCTACATCCGTTCTCTAATTTTATAATCTGATATAAAGCACTCCTATGTCAACACAGCCATAAAATCAGGCTTAGAAAGCCTCTATCCAATTTTGTCCTCTAGCATTTAGTTCTAGTCAAAAATAATAAACAGCACCCTCAAAATAAAAGTCCGCTTCTACAGCAGCTCAGGAAGTAAAGGTTTCATTTCAGTGTTTGAGCCTATTGCTCTAAACACCTTCACACTGATACACAATCTGTTTAGCAGGAAGTGTGAGGAGGAATCAGCCAGTGGTCTGTGGTATTTGAAGCACGAGTGTAACAGCTACAGACATCAGTATGAAGGTCCACACTGAGTGTGTTCGTTACAGAAAAAAAGGACAGTCTGGTTTAAAGTGAGGTTTTCACACACGGGCAGCAGTCTGCGGTGTGAGACAGACGGCGGCGTCACGGTGTGCAACAAAATCCCAGTGACATTCAGTGGGAAGCTGCACAGCCAGTCCATTCACAGCTGATGGAGTTTCTCCGATAACAGCCAAGCCTCTCTCTCACACACACTCACACACAGAGAAACACACTCACCGTGTGCGTGCAGAATCCATGTCCAGGACCAGCTTCGCTAAATGTTTCCTTTGTTTCTGGATATTTGGGATTTCCACCTGAGAGGACAGAGCAGAGATTTTCCTTCAGTCTGCTGTGTTAGTGTGAAAGAGGACAACAAACAGCCTCAGTATTGTGAGGCTTTGCACCTGTAGCAGCAGAATCAGTCTGGGCAGCACTTTCTCATTCTCATGGAGATTAGCTTACTGGCTAATTTGCAGAGCAATAAGTAGAGTTCATCAGAGAAGTCCCGTGTTTGGGGACTGGAGGCAGGAAGCTCCAATCTTCTTGCTATCAGTTTCTAACTTTTTATCACTTCAAAGTATTTTATTCATAGATACAGGGCACCTTAATGAGCAAAACTACACAACAGTCCTGTCATGCTGAAACAGCTCATACCTCGTGAGAATTAGTTGTCGCCCCCTTTCCTTCTTTTCTATTTTTCTATTAAAAAAATAATGAAAAATAAACCATTTTTATAATGTTTTTCTGCCCTGTTGAATTTCAGATGCTCTATAATCATATCACAATTATATTTCCACTTTTTCTTACCAGGACGCATTTTGGACTCCTTTTCTAATCAGATGCTTGCTGTTACTGCTGTTAATGTGACTGGAGCTCATTTATTAAACAGTTAGTCGCACGGCATTGTTTCTGTACCTCTGCGAGCTCGTACAAGGGTTCGGTCACGTCCCTCTCGATGGTGAGCTCGAACAAGATGAGCTCCTGAGCGAGCTTTTCCTGCGTGTCGCCGCAGAGCTTCAGCATCTTTCTGCAACAGGAAATATCACAGCGGATTCACCGAGTGCAACATACGCAGGTCAGTCAGTGTTACAGCTCGCTTCCTGGTTTGTAATATTGAGGTTTCTCTTGAATCACTGTGAAAAACTCATTTCTTTATAGTTTGCTTCTATAATATCTGTAGTTGGACACTGGCTGCTTTTTCACTCATGCTCAGTACAGTTCTTGTACCTAACCATTTTCAAATTGTTGTTTTAAGTCACTTAAAGTGACTCATGACTCAATCAAGCAATAAAAATGCAACTCAGACATTAAACCAGTGTTGTATCTGCACATAATAAACAATTATTAACTAGCAAAGAACCTTGCTTGTTGCAAAAGCACATAATTTCTTCCCATTTCTTTAGTTGAAGCCGTCTGACAGGCATAAAATACTATTTTTGCACCAACGAGGTGACTTCTAAAGAATGTCATTATATATCATTACAGATATTATTATTATACTCGGGATGTGAAAAGCAAATCAGTTCTGGGTCATAAAAATGTTCCTCTCTGCATCAGCCTTTCCAAAGAAAATGTTTCCAATCTCATCGATGATCAACAATAATGTAAATTACTGTGTGTGTGTGTGTGTGTGTGTGTGTGTGTGCGCGCGTGTGTTTACCCTAGCAGAGACTCGTCTCCGAGCACAGCTGCCCCCTCCACCATACATTGTGCTAGCGTTGCGAGCGGAAGCTTTTTCTGCACAGAAACACAAACAGTCGATGAATCAGCTGCAGTTCATAAATAAAACCACAAACACAGAGAAAACATCATAAAAGCATACGAAGATTATAAATTATCTTTAATATAAGTACCAGAAGTTAAAACACGTGCTCATGTCACATCAGTTCATCACTTTTTCAAACTTGTATTTTATTTTTAATTAATGAATTTTAAAAAAGCTTATTTTTCTCTCTTTTTTTCCTTGGCCTTCTCACGAGTTACTGTCTTGGTTCCATCTTAAAACATCTTCATCTCAGGCTCCTCTAAGCTTTAGGATGAAAACATTTTTAATCCAGTGAAGGATTAAAAAGATTAACTTTCCACAACACAAATGGCACATTATTGTGCAGCACTTGAATATTTTGTCACTCAGTCTCTTGGTTTGCAGGAAAATATTTTCTCTGTTTGTTTTTTTAAACATTTACTGGAGGATGAAACATGCTTTCCAATATCGTTGCTAATCACCTGTCAGTGTCCTTCTGTCCTCTCTGAAAGTCTTAAAATTTAATTTGTCATTAGGAAAACTTTTAGTCTGAGTTGTTATGAAATTACTGAGAGCACAATGAAGAAAAACTGGATAGGTAGAAAATGATTCATTTTCATTCTATTCCATTAAAATATAACAATAAATATTAAGTTGTGGCTGCTGCTGATTAGCATGCAATGTTTTTAAAACAAATCAATAAGACAAATGAAGAGCAGCAGCATGCTCTGACTGTAGAAATAAAGCGTAAAACATGCCCAGAGGGCAGATAAGTCTGCTGTTTACACCAATCCTGGAACATTTTACTTTGTATACTAAGATTTAACCGCATAAACTTCACTGCAGTATAACAACTATTGATCGATTTATTCAATTCATTTGAGCGTACACACAGGCCTCGATTTGCTTTTCTTGTGTTACTAACCATCGGTCACTAGTGGACATTCCAGACCCCCGGTTGCCTAGGTAACCCTCTAACGCATTTACCAACTTGTCATATGTCCGTCAACAGTGTTCTTTGCTGTCACTGGTCAGTGATACCCAAATTCTTACCACCTCTCTGCCCTTTCATATACATAAATGTAAAGCCAGAGGCAGAGAGACCAGCAGCAAGACCACGACACAGAACAGAGCAGGCATGAATGACAGCAGATGTGCCACTGAATTAACCAGCATGAAAGGATGAGCTAGGTAGAAGGTGGAAGTGGGTTGCAAAGTGGCCTGCAGATAACCATTAAATGTATGCAGACTAAAGCTGCCTACAGAAGCTGCCCTACGTGAGATTCGTCAGTAGGATATGAAGAAAGGTGTCAAATGAGCAATCAGTTTCTTCTTCACGTTTCTTCTAAGTCCCGTCGTTGTTGGACTTTTGGATGAGTTATAAAAAGATTCACGTCTTCTCTGAGGATTGGACCTCCCAGTGATCGTTTATTGGTTAGGCAAATGTGTAAACCTACCCCATCATATTTATGGCTCCAACCTAACATGGCCAAAATACTAAGGCTGTAAAAAAAAATGTATATGGTTGTAGATCATGTGATTTGTACCTTGATCAGCACACAAGCCCACACTGGTACGGTACAGCTCAGCTAAAATACCAGATGACAGAAAAGGTTTTATCAGATTTGTAGTGTTTATTTTCTCTCACCGAGGGTGACCTGACAGACTTCTTGTCCACGTCCACGCCCTGCTGGCCCTGCAGACAGGCGGTCAGCTTCTTGTGTGTGCTGTGGGAAACCTGCTTCACCAGCTCCAGACGTTTCTCCACCTGAAACACACACAGAAGGGAAGGAAGACAGAAAAGTCAGGGCACAGGCCTCAGCCAGAACCATGCACACACTGTGAGCTCCTTCCACTAATGCACAGCTTGTGTCAGCTTCAGTTACAGACATGCACTCAAACCTCAACCCAGAACAGGGTTAGATTTAAAAATAGAAACTCCATTTTTCCATCAGAGCTTTTCCCCCAATAAAACAACATCATTCTCAGTTGGTGTGAATGACGCCGCACCATTACCTGTTGGGCTTCAATGCGTCTCATTTCATTATTAAACCAGCTGAGTGGAAGCGATGTGTCTGCCACTCAGAGCATCATTAATCTGATCAATTACAATATCGCACCCCAAATCAATCAGCGAGGACGTTTCGCTTTTTGTCTCGCAAAGAGGTTCAATTTCAGCGTTCGTTAATGTTGCCCGAAGGCAGTTCAGAAAGCCATTAAAAATAACAAAATATATTAAAAAAAAATTCATGCATGCTGAATATTTTGCTCCACTAATGATTTTTCTTGTGAGATTTTTCTTGTGAGAAGCAGTGACTATCGAGCCAAAGAGGAAAAGCATTCGCACAAACACACAGATTCGATGAAGACTCATTAGTACCTGCAGCAGGTCTTCACTCAGCACTTCTGTTTTTTCAGCCCTGGAAGAAAAGAGAAGAGCGGCTGTTAGGGTGACAGAGAGAGGGAAACGTTAAAATTACAGAACTTGTTATTGTGGGAACTTGGCAAGTAGCGCACAAACCACTCAATCACTGTAATTGCATCATTTGCTCGACTTCTGTGCAAGAAATATAAAATGCTGCAGCTGCCTGGAGCTAATCGTGTAAGAGGAATGTTTATTTTCACAGTTGCACAGGACTCACGCTGGTCTGGTTTAATTACAAAGTCTCAAGTTGGCAATGTGACAGAAAACAGAGACTGACTGACACTTACAACATTTTTAAACTCTTTGACTTATCTTCCAATTATTTTATGGGTTGGGAATTTTTCTATCCTAATAACTAAATAAACAAATCTAAAAACTATCAGAATCATCTGAAAACACACAAAAAAGCTTCTTTTAGTTCATGGAAAACATCCAAAAACTCTGCTCCAAAAGTGAGTCAGTCTCCATAGACTCTCCCAATTTTACAGCCAAATAAACATGTTTATAGCCCGCTGCAAAGAAACGTTTTGGTCTCTATAGCTAAAGCTCCAGTCAGATAGTTAGCAACCAGTTGGCAACTGCCGGGCAACCACTGGTAGCTGTGAAAACCTCATCCACACAGGCCTAAAGACCAGTCAGTCCCCTGATGATAAGCAGCTGCTAGGAAAAAATGTGTGTCCCCCCAACCAGTTGGTGAGAGCTTGTTTGCTGTCAGTAGGTGAGATTAGTTCCCAAGAGGTTCTGCCCCAAAAGCCTCTTTAGAGTTGCTTTGGTTGCAACTGGTTGCCACCGTCCCCTGTAGTTTGTATGGAAGACACCAACTTATCTCCAACTAAAAAAAAAAGTGCAACAAATTCATCCTCAAAGTAAAACTGGCATCTTTTGCAGCACGTTGCTTTCTGAGATAAGGCACAGCTTCTATTTTGCAGGTGAGCAGTCTCGCCTTCCGGTCTGTAGCAACCAAAGCAATAACAAGGAGATATTTGATGCAGCAACCTTTTTGTGACTGATCTCATTTACAGTAGCAACAGCCAGCAACCTCCATCAACCGCTCGCCAGCAGTTTCACTTTCGTGTAACTCCACAGGGTGACATTATTTAACTCACAATTTCAGCGTGTATTTAGTTCCAAAACTATATTTTTTAGCGGGGCTTCTGCTTTGACTGATAAGTGGATGCTGAGTCAGGTAACCAGAGCCTATAGCTGTCTGCTAGGCCTCACCTCTGTCAGTTTAAACCACTGAATGTGACCTTTCAACCACATTTGCGCTGTTTGTTATTATTATTTAATACGTTTCTGTCTTGGTGATGCACCCATACAGCTTTTCGATTCAGCTTGCTTGCGTTAGCTGATAACTTAGCACTCCTCTATCTGGATCAACAAATATGCAATAAAATATTATAAAGACACTACGGTGGTGACTCAACAGAAGAAACTACCGGGAACTTCTAGTGACAACAAGAGAAATAACCCTTTACAGAGGCAAAGTGGGCAGTTCCTGATATTCTCAACCGTAGAGTGCAGGACTGAAGTGACTGATATTTGAAGGGGATCTAGACAACTGCACACCTGGCATGGCCATCAGCCACCAGCCAGCTATGAAGCAACAATTACAGTGTATGTGTGCCAGGGCTTCAGAGTCAAGTCACAAACCGAAATGCCAATGTTACCATAGAAACATGCTCCCAGTGGCAATGCAGTGTTACTGATATTAACTTTGTGTACTGTTGATTATGTTCAGTGAAGATGAAAGGATGTAAGGAGCAGAGGTAGTGAAGGTGGATGAGTTTAAATACCTGGTGTCAACCATTCAAAACAGTTCAAAGAAGAGATGAAGAAGAGAGTGTAGGCTGACAAAGACAGGATACTGGATTAATTTTACATTTCCAGAACTAAGTATGAAAGTATTACCCCAATAAAAATTTATTAAAAAATGTTAATGTTGCCTCTTTCAGAGTCAGACTTTCAGTTAGTGTGCATCAAAGTAGTAAACATATGTATACATATAAGAATGTTTCTTATTTATCTTTTCTTATTGTCAATAAATCCCACATTGACAAGAAGAAAGAATCGCCTCCTCAAGCTGACAATGGTTCATACTGAAGACGCAAGCCTTTAAAAACAACCCACAAATATATCATTTCATTTTCCAGAAAAAAAAGAGCTTAGTAGCCCTAAAACAGCTGCTCTCCGCAGGTTTCAGCAAATGTTTCTCAAACAAGAAGAAATGGAGCTTTTGTTGGAGACTATTATCTGCATCGCATTAATGTACACATGGTACTCTAGTGAGTTTTTCAGGCAGCAGGATGGTGTGTTTGTGAGATTGAACCATTATAAACCAGTGTATGTGTTCATGATAATGAAGAAACATGTCACCCAGTGCAACACTGATGTGTTTTTAATAGTTTCTGCACAACAATGAAGCTCGATAGCACGCAGGAATAAAAACTCTCAAGCTTTAAATGTGCAGACAACACATGGGTGTTGTTGTTATTCATGGGTGTTGTTGATATCAGGCTTTAACTAATGATGAATGATTTTAATCATACCAACGATGTAGCATTTAGAAAAACATATTCTACTCCATTATTTGATCACCAGTTCCTTCAGGAAGCCAAAGCGCCATGCACTGAAATAACACTAACAGACTGCAGCACTGCCTTCAGCAGCAGTTGAACAGCTGATGGAGATCAGTGTGGATATTTCGGATGCTAAGATGACCTGTAGGTTAATAACAAAGACAGCCTCTGGAGGAAAACGTTGCCTGGAGTGTCAGAAAGCCTTTAGACAATAGATCTGATAAGATGCATAACAACAAGCTGCAAATTTAAAATAAGGCAAAACCTGCAATTACTGGTCTTATTTCACCTGGCTAACGTTTGCAGAGATATTTATCTATTGGCATCTTCTTTTAACGCTAATAAGGAAGTTTTATGCATTTTTTAATTGTCCATTTCTTGAAAGTCTCTTAACATTTATGTCTATCTGCTGGTTTAGCATTGCTTACTCCTGCTTTAAAATCACAGGGGTCAGACAAAGACATCTGTGTCCAGTAAAGATGCACAAACCTACCCGTTTGAATTTCAAAATCAATCCAAACACCTGCTAAAACCAAATTTTTGCTCTTTCAAAGTTGACATGAATGCACGACAATTTATAAAGTTTCAAACATCAATCCTGAGATGAAAGACATGAAGGTTACAGTAAGTTTTTTCCCCCCACATAAGTATTTCATTATTTTTTGACAGTTCGAATGCGTTACTGTTAAATTTCCTCTGATGGCTGTTGCAGTATTCCTCTATTGTTGTTCATAAGCAAACACAAAAAGTCCGAGTGTATAAATAGCCAAAATGCTCATTTTTTGTTGCTTGTAAAACTAAACAATGATGAGAAATAGATCCAGCAGTTAAAGATGAACCACAGCATCCTCACCGCCGTACAGGTTCTTTCTTGGGTTACCTTTCCTTCTCTCGCTCTCTCTTGCACATTTCCCCCTGACAACCAGTTAGTTTAACAAAGTTCAGAGAACAGTTAAAACAAATCACAATGCAGATACTCGGAGCTGTAAATAGAACAGATGCAGGCAGATGAGTGGATATAAAAACAGAACCAACAGCATTGAAACTACACACACACAGCTACAGCAGACATTTCTTCTCTCTGAGAGAGAAGATTCAGCCTCACTCACACATCGATTATACATCAGGCATCAGTTTCCTAAAAGCATCTTAAGACGGTCTTTAGAGCGCTGTAATGCTCAGAGAGAAAATATGTTTGGGAGCTCTGGTTTCAGACTGAACTGCTGCAGACAGAAATGATTGTAACTTGAGGAAAAAATCAGAGTACAGCAATGAACCGAGGAACGACTGAGTGGCTTATCTGTCACTTATGAGTAGCAAAGTGCAATTTGGTGGGACCAGCTTAGCAAGTGGTTTCAGGTATCAGATCACCATGTGTCTTAATGGATATTTTCACGTGTATTTAACACTGTGCACTTGTGATCTGATAACCACGGATGCACTTGAAAACCAACTGTAAACCGGGCCAAGATAAAAAGACTAACTCTGTACCTTGTTAAAGTTTTTGTTCTGCTGAATTTTATCAGCCCTGATGTTACGCTCTGCTCTGAACAGCCTTTAGCAACTGTTTCAGTTTGTATTCAAAATATCAGTAGCAACACTGATAAACAGGTAAGTGTGAATCACCTGCGGTGCACTTCCTTCACCCCCGCAGACAGAGAAACCTGTTATTAAACAGGCAGATTAGGTTTTACAAGGTCACCTCCAGAGCCTGGAGTCTTAACTACAAGACTAATTCATTTATTTTACAAGGTCATTACCTTAATGCCTGATGTATCATATTTGACAAGTTGAGTTTTGTGAATTTGACATCAGTGTCACAAAAATTAAAATTCAATGTACTGAATGTAAATAGTTGGAACGTACTTACAGACCAGATTTGTGTGACTAAGGTCTTAAATAAAAATATTATTTACAGTTTTCCTTCACAGCAGATTAAAACTGTGTCAAAAGCATCCGTGAATAAAATTTTAAATAAAGCCAACTCTGTCTAAATGCTGGATTAGCAGAAACTCTTTGATGAATAGATGAAAATATGTTATTTTCAGTGTAACTAATATAATATATAAGTTAACACATTCAGCAGCCCTTTGCTTTCTGACCGAGAACACGCACCAGACCAGTCACACCTACCTTACCTGCCTTTCTGAGCAGCACAGACACATGTTCCCCTCTAAATGTACCTACTGCCACATACAGCTATACATTTCACTCAAATTTAGCTCAAATTCAAAATAAAAAATAAAACACAGAGTGAGCCTGCTGTGGCTCAGTGGACTTACACAACAATTCTTTTTCTGCTCGACCTCTTAGTCTTGCCAGAAATCTGCAGCTTTCTCCTCCACATCCCCCCTGCTCACAGAAAGGAGATCACCTGTTTTCAAGCAGGAGTTCTGTGACCACAAAGAGCAGAGAG